TAAGATAAGTATGTATCACTATGAGGGCACACAGTGATTTCGAATATCTCAAGTTCTCTAAATGATTGGTTTATTATAAAAGTATTTTTGGCACCAATAATACTACTGGTGTCACCACAACCTACAGTAGTATCGTTTTTCCTTAGTTTAAATAAAATTTATTTACGTTTGCTATCAAATTATCATTGAATTAGGTGAAGATATAAATCCGGTTACTTTACGTTCTCACTACATTATGAGCAGTATTTTGTTCGACAATGATTCTTTTTACTTCAATATTATTAGGTAACTCTTAGTGTGAAGAACCAATAATTGTCGCATTATGAAGTTATGATTGCCCTGTTAACTTATTCGTCTATTGATATGAATGAATGCAAATTTTACTCTTAAATGTATTTTTTTTTAAAAAGAATTATCTATGTAACTCTAAAAAATTAAATACGTTTAATAGCCTATAACATAGAATGATGTGAGTGACGAAACTAGTGAGTGATCAATGGTATGTAAGCATGTCAGTTGTAAGTCAATTACTGACAATCGTGCAATATTGCAATTAACTGGAGTTAGACATGTAAGTAACTGAATTCCAACTCAGTTTTGTGAAGGCTAGATGTTCACTGCAAGGCATAAATGTCCGGAAATTTGTTTCTGATGAGCTTGTGAATTCCGCACTTCTGAGATGTCCCATACTGGACGAAGCTATTATCCGGTGCTCTTTTGTGTGCAGTGGTTGCTTAGGTAGTTATTTCGTTAAGTAAGTTATAGGATCCAATAAGCTCATACATTTATACGGAGGATAACTTCACGATAATTTTCATACATCAACAGAATGTTTTTTTAACTTTTACTAATACATAGTATGAGAAATTTAGTTACTTTCAAATTGAATTTATAAATTTATATTATTCACTGACCTACCGAGATTATTGTTCTTTTCAAAGCATTTTGATTACTACAAAGATTTTATGTTTAACGTATGAAAAAGTTATTTTCATTTTTTTTGCGAAGTTTCGTTCTCTGAGCTGAACTCTTTGGTTGCGGAGCTTACATTGTTCTTATGACAACCATCATCATTAAAAATTTCAAGTACAAGTAAAGTAGTCGCATTTATTGACTGAATACTCAGCTTGTCCTGTTGACTTTGATCTTGACTGGTTATTTTTAAGGTCAGCAGGATAAGCTGAGAATCATCAGTCGATAAATGAGAATACTTTCCTTCCACTTGGAAGTTTTACTGATGCTGGTGTTCAGAAGAATAACGTAAGCTCCACAACTACAACTTATCAATAGTAACTGAACACCTTGAGTTGAATAATGGGATAATTTTCGAAACGAAATCAAGTAAATTTACTGATTATTTTTTGGTTGTTACAATAGTTCATGAATGTTTTATTTCGTTAGATTCTCTCTTGTTTTACAACTGATTGATCTTGCATGTTTTATCCAGTCATTAAAATTATTCAGTTGAAATTCTATATTTTATATTTGTACGTATGCAATACATTGAAAATACCATGCAGCGTAACTGTCTTCCATTTTGACATACTTGATCTTATATGTCATTTCACGTCTGTTGTGAGATAGGAACTCACTGAAGACAATTGGTGAATGGTTGCTCAACTTCGTGGATCAGTTGAAGTAAGACATTAACACCGTTGGATGCCAGCTCAGTGGTCTATCGGTTAAGGGCTTCGGCTTGAGACTGGTAAGTCCTGGGTTCGAGTCTCGCTCGCGAGAGCGGGTTCGTGGATGCGCACTGCTGAGGAGTCCCATAATAGGACGAAACGGCCGTCCAGTGTTTCCAGGTTTTCCATGGTGGTCTAGCTTCAATTGACTCATGATTTCTACTATGAAAAATACTAAATCTCCACAAAACCCTTTCTGATAATTTCTCGAATTAACAGTGAAATATATGGTATGACAAATACAGCCAACAAATTAAACCAACCTCTACACAACTCTTTCAACAAAACTGTAGTAGTTAACTCACTGATGATTTACTTCAAGATATTCTTAAAGTTTTAATGAGTAGTTGTGAATGATGAAATTCAGGTGTATTGAGGGTGAAACATTTTTCATCAGTAGCACCTCATGATTGTCTCGTTTTCTCGTAAATTGATCACATTTGCAGTTGTACAACTTAACACTGACCCAGTGATTTTAAAGGTTATTGGTTCACTACAAATTCAAAATGTCCCTGGCAGAGCTATCGGTGCTCATTACTTGAGAATCCTATACTAGGACGAAACATCTATCCAGTGCTCAACTGAAACCTATCTGTGAATAGTACGACTAAGTGATGAGTACGAAGAAGTAATAATTTATCTACACAAATTGTCGCAAATAAATTGATTAAAGTAGATGGAAGAATTATTTAAGAATATGTGTTGGCTACTGATTACTTAAATTAAAATAGAAATTTGACTATCAGGCTTCATACCTTTACGTATACCAACTATAAATAATTATGAATTGAATAAATTCATATATATGAGTATACCAAGAATTTACATCAATAAAAATTTATTATCACATATATAAATAGATCACAACTACATTTTAAGGAATTTTTTTAAATGATTGGTAACAATTATTGTGCATGTATTTGTAGAGCATATCACATAATATAATAGATATATTTATATATTATTATTTACTATGATTATTGATTTGTGAACTATAACTGAATTAGTTTATTAAATAAATTATGTTCATACATTTTTTCTGATGAGAAAGAGATACGAAAATAATCAATAGCGATGGGAACATGTGCTTTTTGCGTGGTGAACGACACTAGCATAATAGACTACACTCAACGTGTATGTAAATGTATAAGAATCTAAGCGAACGTTGATATATATATATATATATGGAGTACTGAAACGTACTCAAAATTTGAGGTTATATACGTATGTGTTTAGCTGGCGTACACACTAATAGACACAAACATAAACAAAGATGTACACACTCGAAACATACGAACATGATGAAGTAATAAGTGCTGTGAACAATAACTTGAAGAAAAATTCCAATTGTCACATTCATCATCGTTTACACATAACAAACGAGTCACATCAGCAATATCATTATTGTAGTAAATCTAAAGAATTTTACTTTCATTCATTTGTCATCATATCAATGCGTAATTTACAGGGCACGTGATGAGTGTGCAAGCAAATTCGCAGTTAACAGTACAATCAATTATAAACAAGACTCAGTAATCAAAATTTTTCAATTCAATTAATTGACATGGTTTAAAATAATTGAATCGATAAAACACAAGGTCGTAGGGTAAGAAAGATATTCTGAAATTGTTAGATCGAAGTGTACTGGAGGGTTAGACAAAGATTATACAGTACAAAATCGAACTCTTTCTATATATATGTGGATAGACAGATGTGTGGAAAGATAGATAAATAGATAGACAGGGGCAATCTACATGATCACGTTCGTGATATATGTTTAATGATATATAGCGGTAGTCAACATATATCTACGGTCTTGGACTAAGTGATGCCATCTATGTGGGGATTTAAATTCTCATTTCAGCGTCATAGATAAACACATCATGACTAATGTATTGAAAACAATCCTGATTTTACGTAGGATTTGGTTCTTTACAATGGCTAGTGACTGAGGGGTAACCACTATCGTGTTCGTATAGTTCTTAGTGTCGGTCGATTATCAGATAAAAAGAAACCTTCTTCTCTTTAGAAAATATGCATTTTTGTTACTGGCATTAAACTACACTCAGAATAAAACATGTTAATTAATTGAAAGTTATAGAAATAAATCATTGTCTACAGTAATTAATTATTCATTTTCGAACAGTCAGTTAATGATCGGGCTTAATGAGACTTATTGAAATAGTACTGCGGTGTGTGCCACTGATGTCAACAGATATAAGTAGTATGTATTATCAGTCGAAAATGAAATGCCCGGGGATAGAGGGTTAAGAAGATCGAAGAGAAGAGAACGAGGACAGAGAACGATTGGTGTGGAAATGAAGGAACAATCAAGTTTGAGACAATCGACTGACATTTTGCAAATGAAGTTTTTACTGTACGGTTCTTGAATTTTACTGAAAGATTCTGTAAATTTGTGTTAAAATATATTGGATTGTCTTGGTTAGAAGTCAAGAAGTGAATACTTGCGCCATTAGGGTTAATGCATATAATCACAATCGTAGATTAGACATCTTGAATGGTATAGCTTAAAATTACTAGTAATGGCTCAATTAAACTCATTCCCTCTTTTTGAACATATATACATATATATTCTATACTTGTATTCCACAATTTCACTTGTAATTATTATACTATATTATGATGTGATGAGTGACAACGAGAACTCGATACATATTCATACCATGTTCTTCACTACATACGATCGACTGATTGACTGATTAAACGAGAATTATATATCTGTGAATTTACGTAATTCGAGATCAAGTAGATGGATATTATATTGATGATAACATGGGAATATGTTTTTATCATGTTAAAAATCAGTTGACATTAGAACTAAAGAGAAAAATCAGATATTATATCATTAGAATTATATCATTTCCTCATCATAAACTGAAAATATAGAACTATTTATTAGATGAATATTGGTTTGATGATTCTAAAGGAAAAAATGTTGATTGCACAGTATTGTGAATTGATTGAAGTTAGACATACGACTGGATCCCAGTTGAAATGTTCAGGGGGTCAAGTGTCCGCATTTGAGACCGAGGTTTCTAGGCTTGATCTCCTGTGGTGTGGTCATGGGTGCGAACTTCTAAGCAGTCTCATACTAGGCCGAAACAACTGTCTAGTACATCTTGATTTTGAGTAGTGGTTTCGTTATAATCGGTCAGCGATTTAAACTATGGATAAATGTTAATTTAAAAGCTTATTAAAACGTAAATTATTCAACTAAAAAGAAAAAATGTTTTATAAAATGATAATTTTATTTGATAATTTAATTGAACAAATAAATTCATTCCCTATTTATAGATTATTATCACTCACAAGATTATGGATTACACCTGTCCGGAGTAAAAAATCACGATAAAATTATCCGAAAATTCAATAATTTAGCTAATCAACGATTAATGGCCGGTGTTGATGAATTTTTCGACGAACTGGATCATAATAGTACGTTAATTTTAATTAAGCGTTTAGCTTTTTTCTTACTTGTACTAACCAGTGGTAAACAACCGAAACAATTGATTTTATATTGAATTAATGAGTTATTGCGTAGAACAAACTCATTTTTTCAATGTTTGTGATGTATTCGAAACGGTTTCATAGTCGGGTTCATTGAAGGATGTAATTAGTAATTTGAATTATTTTTAGTTGAAACGTCTTATCCTATGTTTTTGTGCAGTGTAAAACTCAAGTTCAAAAACAAGTTTTTTAGTGTTGTGAATAGGTATATGGGTTAACCTGGTAGATGAGTCACAATTATAATGAAACTAAAGTCCTGGATTCAAGTGCTAAATTATTTATAAAAGATGTATATTTAACGTTTGAATTGAATCTATGTACAGACATGGATTTAAGAAAGTGATTAATTCTAGCTTCAAATAAGTATGAGGAATTTGTGGAGATTGTTCAGTTTTGCATTTTACATCATGAACTAACCTTAGGAAGGAAACTGTAGTAAGTCAAGTCTTTTGATAAACGCTTAACGTTTGAGTGGTTAGTCCCGCAGTTCTAGCTCAAAATTGTGACCAGTTCAGTTCAAGCATGTAGGATGTGAAGCAGTTGACTGCATTCTCAGATTTTTCCATAGGATTGCGAATGGAAGTTCTAAATGCAAACGGTTAAATGTCAACTTGGTAGATCGAAGGTTAGCTCTTGTTGCGACGCATGATAACCATGTATCTGGCTCCCATTCATGTCGTGAATATCCGCATCTGATCAGTCCTACCTTAGAACGAAACAACTGTTCAGTGAATGCTAGTTCTTAATGACTGTCTAAATAAGAATTATTCGTTGTTTAAACTAATAACGTAGCCTCACATATTAGTTATAGAAAAATTTAAACGCCTATTAATAACAAAAGGTAGTAAACTAAAGTTTTATTTTTGAGTATTCTAGCGGTGTAGTTCATTTGCATAATATGCTAAACCAAAATATTCTTTTTTATAACTATGCTAACAACTTGTATCATATTAAATTTATTAGGAACTAAAAATGAATCTATCTACCCATCTATTTATTTATTTGTTCACTTATTTTTTAATTTGTTTAAAGATCTTTATCTTATTAGAAGACTAATAGTTGAACGAAGAATATTCTCTCCACTTTCTACATTTATATATCTAAATTAATAATAAAAGGGAAAATTGCATCATTTAAAGTCATAACATGTGAATATATGATTGTTAAACAAAATAGAATAAAATTGTTAATATTGATGTGACTCATATGGAATGTTATCTATCAAGGTATAACGTCATTTAATAATATTACAATTGCAAAAATTGTTCAATGATTAATTAATTATTTCTAAGTTGATTTGTTACCATTAAATCTGCTTTAGTCATAGAATATAATAATGACTTCTCGTTTTGTGCATATCTGACTAACAACGAGACTAGATGGAAGAGTAAAACGTAATGTGTATAGAACCTTGTCAAGTGGGAGATATATGTATATGTACAGTTTTGTCCCATTTAAGGGACATTTCAGAATCATTGCATTAAATCAATTTGTTGTAATACCAACATCGAAGAATAAACAAAAGGTAAACGTTATCAACTTTAAGAGTATGGATATTTACAAAAGAACATATCAACCAGGTAGAAATTAGGCTGTTGACTACATGTAGTCGGAAGAAGTAATTATTTCAAAACTACGGTTCAAAAAAGATGTTACTTCTGGAAGATTAATGAAAATGTTTACTAAGATATTACGCAAAGCGTTCAATTCAGTCAAACTGAATTTCGTACCTTAAAATCGTCTAATTATTACAACAGCAAATAAAACACTGCCATGAATGCACTTCATTCATGTTATTTTATCACTCCAACTGAAACTGTAGATCTAGCTACCCAGGAAACATATTTTAGCAAATCCATAATTATTTCTTCGATTACCATCATTCCTGGTTGAGCAACGAACAGTTACTTGTGATTAAGAGCTCTATTCTCTATTAACACAGAACATTAGGTAGATTTATATAAAGCTTTTCACTTTGTCCAGAGTATTCGATTAAATTCACTGTAGTTTGTTGGTTTGTCTTTTAAATAATACCGAAGCTATCGGAATCCATATCTTAAAACCGAACCTTTGTATTCATAAAATCTATATGACCCTGTCCCGTAACCCTAGATATTCATATAGGCTGTACTAGAGAAACCTCAAGTAAAATTTTATTTTCTAAATTGATTTCGTTTTTGTGTTCCTACACAACTTTAATGTTCAGATCTTTAGCCTTATGTAACCATGATTAATATTTGTCTTGTTCACAAAGTATTTTTTTAATTCTCTTATTATGCATTATGTAATCTGCTAACTGTTGGACCATACGTTTCATGTACTTTTACAATTGGTTATTTTCAATTTTATCATCACTTTGTACTACTTTCAACTGGCTGTCTTATCATTTTTCATTATCTTTATAATTATAAAATTAATGAGTTAAATTACCTTTAGATTGATGTTATATTACAATCGCAATATATACACGTATATATAATGTGATGCTGTGTTCTGTGGGCTGGTTGGCTTAATTGTGAAGCTTTAATTGATCTTTTGAACATCCTCAGTGCTAGGAATGAGATTTTTAGCTGTACTACAAGTCTTTTATTACCTCGTTCAAATGGGTTTACTTGTGACCGGTTGTATTCATAGGTTTAGTTGACTTTATTTCCCTTAGCATTCATGATGACCATATGCAAAACAATGGTCCAACTGAACATCAACAAAAGCATGAATGTTTTGAAGGTTCTCTCAAATTGAGTTCATCAGCAGTCGTATGGACAGTGAGTTAGACATTGAGAACTCAGGATACCAAAAATATTTTGGATTTTCACCAACACAAGAGGTTAAATAGCATATAAGTTTTTAATCTTATTTTCAGTCCCCAAGGCCTACACTAAGTTACCAGTTTTACCCAAAAATATCAACGTATTGCCTTCATTTCCCTAAATTTTAGGAGGCTTGCATCAAGTTTCTCGAATAATCTTAATAGCCTAGGCAGATTACGCACATTTATACCATGTTATTCAAAGCATCAATTTACTATAAATGTTCTATGTACATGATATTCACAACAGTGAATAAGGTTATTAAATTTGTCATGGCTGCTTGTTCATTTGTCGATATTTTGTACTCCTCATAAAAAATTTGGAGGTTCATGATGATATCTGAAGTTATTGATGAATGCCAAAGATCCTATCACACTAATGAATAATTGCTTAAAAATTGAAATGAACTACTGTTTTTTTTCACTACCATTCTGATGTTTTTGTTAAGTATATTGATATAATTTATCGATTTCAACTATAATAAAAAGTTTTACATTATTATCACGTATGTAACATTTCTAGTAATTTAATTTTAGACTTCAGTTTCACATTTTAGAGAGTGATGACGCTTGAGCTTTAAATAAGTGAGGTTAGCCATGCTTTACTCAATGCTTAATAAAAATGCAATATCTAACATTTTCGAGAACATTCACGTTCATTTAGTGAGTGATCACCGCATGTAATTTCATAACTTTCACTGGTGATATCATTTTAATTATCTAAAAATAACAACATCTATCTTCCATGAACATGATAACCTGGATCATCCGAAACTGCTGGATGAAAAAGCGGATAAAGTGAAATTTGAGTTTGAAATAAAATCTTCAATGAAAATTACGGTCTTACATGACATAAACATGAGCTCAATCGACGTAAAATATCAGAAAATACTTCATACTGCACATATTTTAAATAATAAAAACGGATGAGCTACAAATTCACGGATATGTATTTCATTTCGAAAGTAAACCGCCTACAAATCAATAAGTGATGATGAATAGTAAATTTAACAGAATCCCCAAAATTGAAAGAAATAACTTCGATTTGTCTCACATGGAATCCCAAAGTCAAACGATGGGTATAGGGTTATTAGTGAACCACCGTTGGAGTACTTTGATTCAGCACCTAGTCAAAGTGTTAACTAATATGTTCTTGTCCGGATCAGACAGTTTATGTGTACTTCAACTCCGTTTGTCAATAAAAGTCTCCAAGTTATTTTTAAGTCTTTTTTGCTAGCATAGCTGATTGTGGATGAGTATCAGAAACACGTGTATCTGAATCGTGAACGCAGTAGAATATAGTATCGGTGTTTAAAACGAACTTCGTTTTCTCACTACAATAGTATGTCCTTTTCACAATATCATGTATATATAATTTAAAACAAATTTAATTATCTACAATATTGAAAGAAGCTAGTTTACAGCATCTCACGAAAAAATTACAGACATTTCATAAAGTTTAGAAGGTCAGAGTTTTGTCTCAATATTAGCGGATTATTTAACTGTAATATTACAGTTCAGCTATGATGTGCATTAGTTCTTAATTAACGGGATGTCACCGGCTTTATAATATTAATGCTCGTACTAAGACAACTAAAAATATTTGCTTATTATGATCAGGATTATTATAATTGGACCTAATGATCAGTTATGCATATTTCATAGACGTCAGTCATTTATTAGTAAGTGGCACAGTCAAAAAAATTATCTACCGGAATGTATTTGCATTTTTAATTGTGATAATTTTCTCGCCTTCATATATTTGGAATTTGAATTGATTTTTTCTTCAGTTTAGTCATTCAAAAGTTGACATCTTGTAGCAGTATTAAACGTATAATAGTGTCTAATGAGTATACTAAACTTAAATCCCATAATATTTAGCAGATATTTAACTGCTCACTTTTAGTGACTTCATCAATTTTCTACTTTTTCAGAGTTGACCCCGGTTCTCCTAACTTTATTGTACTAAGGTCTCAAATGAATATTATCAGACTGAAATAAACAATCATATGAACATAAATCGATAAGATTAGCTAAATTTTTTATGTTATTCAGCTTTATCGTGATATGAGACTGTAAGTGAAATATGGTCAATCTATGAAAACTTTGAAATAAGCGAATTAAGGAGTAAAACTAAGATAATTTATGAAGTCATTTAAGGTTTGTACTGTTTAGTGATTTACAGATTTGTCTTTGAGATTTAGGAACAGGTAGTTCAGGTGTACACCAATAATACGGCAAAAACGACTAAATCAGTTCAAATCCATTCACTTTCTAAACAGCTCGTAACCTATTACTATAAATCAATTTGTAATAATTTTACTCAGTTCCAATATTTTGTGTGTTATCACCTTATTGTAACAGGTTTTTGAAGTTATTTTATAATCGTTGAATACATTTATTCAGTCGTCCATGGTTGTTGAAGTTTATTTTTCAGTATTATTCCAATGGTTGAAAGTTTGTAATTTGCCATCCAAGAATTGAATATTTCTCAATATTATTTGGAAATGTATGTGTGCGGAAGATACATTGAATATTATTGAGATCATGAACTGACCTCAGTTAGACGACCATTGATAACCTGGAAGTACTGAACAACTGTTTCGCATCAGCTTATGGCTTTGAAGCAGTACTCATGCACGACCTCCTCACCGAGATTGAACCTGAGGCTTTAGGTCTCGTGCGAAAACACTTAAGCTTGAGGAGAATGAGCTAGGATACAATTGTGGGTAGGTGTAAACGAGATTTAATTAGATGAATTTAAGATGATTAGTGACCTCGAAGAAATCAACAAAACATCCACAACGTCCATGCTGACAATATAATATGCTTCCACTACTTAACCGTAAATGAAAAATCTAAGGATTTCGCTTTTATCCTTGTTCAAATTCATATTTTGTGACTTTGTGCTCAGAAAATCCACCGTTCACATCTCTGTAAGAAAAAATTTCCCGTTAATAAAATTTCTAAAAGATACAATAATATGCCATGTGGAGCGTGACGTCTTCTAGAACTTAGAACAAGATTAGGGATAAACTAGAGAAAGTATTTTTTAGTCTCTCAAGATCTTCGTACAAATGTGATATAACGGGGGTACAATATAACAAATTGTGCACGTTTTCACGTAGTTACGTAAATAACATGGAGACTTGACCGATATAATTTCATCGGCACCAAGTAACTTGGTAAACCTAGTTAATTCTCAGTGGCTAATTACTTGTAATGGAAGGAGCTGTAAAGGATTGCCTTGGACAGAGTTGGATGGAACATGATGGTGGGCGGCCTATGCTCACTCACGAGGGGTGATAAGGGTAAGTATGTAAGCAAGTAATTACCTATTAATATTTCAGTTGTACAGGGTCCATGAACAGTTCAGTGGTAACAATGCATTCTCCTTCAGATAAAAAGTACTTTTGGTGCTGGACCATAGTTAGGCATGGTTTTTGTTAACTACTTTCACTCACGTAGTTTAACGGATTGTTATCACACAAGCAACCTATTTCCGAATGTATTAGGCTTTTCTGGCATTATCATTCCGGGTTAGATTTTCTAGATCAGTTTAACTACTTGATATATAACTTGATCAATGAAAATATATTTTACTGAATATAAAACAACACTACCTAATTGATATAGTTTATAATTCTGATTTTCACATAAATCGAATAACATATGAAATGATCATAGAATTGATGTGCTATTTATGACTAGGGTATATTTTTAAATTGAGAAAAATTTAATTATATCCCCTTTTACTTTGCATCTCTATCTCCTTAACGCGACTACATATATTTTGTATACATGTATGTATGTGGAGTATTTTTGTTATCCCATGAAATTATGGTAATTTCTTAGTATCAATTGTGAAATAGTTAGTAAATCGATGATGTCAGGTACAAGTTATTTTTTACGATAGTTACAGTATTATGTTAGGTGGTTGGAGGAAGCAGGGAGGAAACTGAGGACCAAGATTTTGTGTCGATTGGCTCATTTTAACATATCAAAACTATAATCTTAAGGGAACAAATATTATGTGGGAATCAAACAAGAACTAATTTCAACCCTTTAATATCTCATCATAGTCCAAGTGACGTCGATTGACTTAGATTAGTAGCCACATTGTAATTTGATTAATAAAATCAAAATAACAATGGAGGAGTGAGTAAATGTGCCACTGATCACTCAGTTATCAGTCATTTTTCAAGTAATTAGTCTGTTGTTGTCTGCAAATATATCTTGGTTGCATCTCTTTTGGTACTCGGAACAATCAACAATTACCAAACATATCTAAATCGATCTAAGTTATCAACCAACTAGGAAATTCCTGTACAAATTCATGGTCAGGAATTTGGTCAAAGGTCAATAGCAATCAATCCAGATCAAGTTCAATAGAATAAGTTGTCAGTCATGTTGACGAATTGGAATACTTCATACTTGCCTGAATTTTACGCTGACGAAACTGTTCAGAATAACAGGAAAAGTTTCATGATTAACCCACTTAGCTTAGAGAAGACAACAGATCACTATAACATATAAAGCTGTAGTGTGCAGGTTATCGACTTATGCCGAAAATTGACCAAACATAATTTTCCATTAGGTATCAAGTTCGCTTTATTCTCAATCAAATACAAAACGATTATCTTGGTTAGCGATAAGAAAATTCTGAGTTCATAACTTCAAGAATCCATGAACACTCAATTAGTCTTAACATTTGATCGTTCTTTATTTACAATCACTATGCTGACAGACGTTTGACTAAGAAGAAAATAATCCACTAAAATCAGATATATTACATTTCATCCGTATTAAAAAATGATTCATAAATAAACGTTTTTTGCCAAGTTTATGAAATCATATTTTCTACAAAAATGCAACCTAATAAAAAAAATTCAGTAGAATATGAAATTTTTAATCTGAAATTAATATCTTAGTGAATAGTTGGTAAATAGTAATTTTATTCAGTCTCATAGTCTCAAAGTTATGTGAAAATTAATGAGACAAGTTATTTATCTTCCGGTGTAGGTTAAGATGCTTATTCATGTACTTATATAAATGATGATGTATATATAAACTCATCTGATTCATTCTTGTTAAAACATTGATTACTTTTTATAGAGTTTCTTGAGAAGTTATGATAGTTTAGCATTTATATATTTGGTTATTTTACTGAAAGAAGGGATAATGACATAATGTTGAATTATTATTATATATATATATATATATATATATATATATATATATATATAACTCGCTGAGCGAGTTAGCAGCTCTCTGGTGATGGTAGCTCTTTGAATAATGCGCAAGGGGCTTGGATTGTAAGGTATTGAGTTCGATTCTCAGAATGAACTTCTATTTTGGGATGAATACTCATCTAGCTGACGAGTTTCAAAGAAAATGGCACCACAATCCTACATCACAAATTCAAGTCGATTATTTTATCATTTGACCAAAAGCTTGTTGTGGAGTGTATACTTGAGAAATAAATGTGTAATCTGCCCTACCTGATGTAGAGAAAAACTGAATATAATATGAGCGAGTCTTTTAGAATAGATGGATTGTGGCTATTAGTGAAATACAGAACACACATTTAATCTCATTTATGACTTGTCAGCTGGATGAACATGAGCCCTAGTGTTGATATCCACATAGCGAACCCAACCCATTGCCCTTGTCATACAACTCTAATGCAGTACTGAGTCTTAACAGCAGTGTTTGTGTTCAACAGAAATGATGTTTAAACCACTAATCGAAACGATTGGAATTAAACTATTGTCGATATAAGCACAAAGATAAAGGTACATTCAAATGACGAGTACTAAATAAGACAAAACGTGCTTTTTGGATTTGGCTGTCAGTCACAGTTTAATTATTCTTAAAATATATGACCAAATGACAACATCAATGTGTTTCTCTAAAGATCTCCAAATACCAGCAAAGACTGGTTTCAATTCAGTCTCGAATATTAACAATAAAACAATCCATAACTTTACTGATGATGATGCAAATGGGTACACTGTACGGAAGAATGGATCAATTTTAGTTTAGATGGTAATCAATTTTAAATAAATTAAAAAATGAATGTAATGGTATAAAAATGATTCCTTATAAATTTGAATGAATGCAATTACCTAAATAACTTGTGAATAGTTAGTCGATCAATAATTACTGAAGGATGTGATTATTACTTAGACCTTAATGTTAAATTATCTAAATTTTTCGATGAATTTGGAATGTGGACAATAAATGATTCGATGAAAAGTGCACTGTTTTAAATTCACTGGGTTCAGGAAAAGCGGTGACGATAGAGTGTAACGATTATATAACTTAGATTATTTAATGAACCTGAATAAAACCTGATTATATTAGAGGTGTTGTGTGGTCACTGAGATATATAGCTGAATCATGAAGCTTTCATTCTTTTACTAAACAACATCATCAACATAATTAAATGTAAAGTCAACTAATAAAATTTCTCTTCAATTTGATAACGGGCTTACTTTAGAATTTGATTGGTTGTTATCCACAAATGCACAGTCGTTGCTTGATTATTACTTCGATTGTTCCCTCTCCTGTTCTAAACTCTGATCTTATCGATGTTAATTCAGATCCGGAGAGGAAACATTTAACCAACGACCATGCAGTTATGGATAACAACCAATCAAATTCTAAAGTAAGCCCGTTAACGAATTGAAGAGAAATTTTATGAGTTGACCTTACATTGAATTATGTTGATGATGTTGTTCAGTAAAAGAATGAAAGCTTCATGATTCAAACATAAGTCTCAGAGACCATAAAATACCTTCAACATCCCCATCATTCCATCATTTCAAAACATGTTTATGTTTGCATTTATTGTTATATGAATTAAGATACTTTGATAAACTGACCTTTTTGTACTTTGCAAAGGACTAACATTTGTTACCATTATGGTTTTATATTCCATGGTTCGTAGTATTTTTCTTCCGATATTTTATGATAATTTATCATCTATTATCTTCAGTTAACATTGAAGATTACTAATATAAATAGTATATTATTGATTTCCTATGATTGTTATAATTATAATTATAATGATTATTATTAATCTGGCTTCATTCATACAGAATATGTTTGAAACAATATGGAATTCTCAGAATAAAGTATTCCAACAGGTTTCTTTCACAGAACAAGAAAAAAAGTCGACAACTACATAAATAAATACATTAAGTAAGCAAATAAACCATCTAGAATTAAATCGAAAGTCTTATAATAAGATAAGAATCTGTAAAACTTTTCATTTAGCAAAATTTTTAAGGATACAAGTTATTGAATAGGTCAGCCCTAATAACCTGTTTTTCACATAGTGTAATGGCTAGATAAGTTATTGTAGAGCTTCTATCCTTTTGCTAGGTTGAGTGGATTCTAACGTATTGACTCCTCGTTCTGCCAAAAGACATACAAGGAGAAAGATGTAAATGAATTAGATGATAACACTTGCCTATATTTCGCAGGATTTTATTTATCTGTTCCATAATCATATTCGTAGTTACATCAAAATATTTGCCACACGTTTCACTAATCGCCTTCAGCAATCCCCATAACTCAGCAAAATCGTTTCTCAAAAGCCCGGGAAATAATAATCGAGAACTGTAAGGCATATTAGGTAATGTACAATAATTTACAGGTTGCAAAAATAAATACTGAGTAATTCCAAAGGCATGTAGCCTGTTTGTATAATAAGTCAAGCAGAAAACTCTTCAATATCAACAAAAACATGGGAAGTTCAAGAGAGATCATACAAGAAACTTACATCAAGATAAATGATCTTTGAATCTGTTTTTGTCCAAGAATCTCCAATAATAGAAAATTTGTGGCATTCTGAAAGGGTGTTTAACTGCTGTTCATATCTCAAGTTATAATAAACAGTTTAAAATTTAGGAGGATTAAGTATGAAACGATCAACAACAATATGAGACAAGAACTATTTCATTTCAAGGGGATGTGCAGGGGTAGAAATCGGTATCCATACAATGAGATCATCCCTATACATGACAAAAGTGTTCTCTATAAAAGATGAGAGACCATGGAGAAAAATGAGAAGAGGAAATAGATAAGAACAGCTTCATGAGGCACATCTTCATGCGTTATTAGTGACGTTGAACACTTCCCTCCGAGCACAGTACACTGTTCTCTTCCAGAAAGGTAATGAAACAACTAGCTGTTTGCGTTGGTAAACTTGTTTGGTAGTTGTGATCTTGAGGTAGAGTAAAAGGGATATGTATGGTATGGAAATAAGCATCAAACGCACTTCTGGCTCTTCTTCAAGCCGAACACTATATTATGATTTAGAACAGCAGCAGCATCTAAAATACTTCTTTTAAATTTGTAAGCAAAATGATAAGAATCAATCTGCTCTTTAATGCAGGTTGAAGTAAGAATAGCAATATTTTTTCCATTGTTTTGAGAAAAAGTGCAGTTATTGCTATGGGTCTAAATTTTCATTCTTATCACCAGATACTTCTTATAGTATTTGAATTATCCTTCTCCTTATTTTCGATATAAAATTAGTCGAGAAAGATTCGATGAAGATGCTCGTGAATGGATGACACAAAATATCAGCATGTGGTGCATGCTTCTTATGTGGACAGGTATATGTAGTATTTAGCAGGAATGGGAAGTAGAATGCTTATCAGCGTAAGACTAAAATGAAAAGAGCGTTTGGAATAACAACAGAATTAGAGAATTACGGAGAATGTGTAGGACAACTCAAGGAAGATATGTGAATGACGTATTTAATGTATGATTTCCATAATTTACAAAGACACTGTGTGATTTTGCATAATACTGTAAATTGATTTACCGTACTTGAGTGTTTGTTTACTACAAGCCCATTACTTATTAGGAATGTTTGGAATTTTGTTATGTCCCAAACAGTGGGACAAGTTTAATGACTGGAGACATTTTCAAACATTAAATTCACTTGGTTTTATTTGCTTGTATCTTCCCATTGTTGCTTAGGACTGCAAATGATATGTGCATCCTGCGTGGATCGCTTCTGTGTTGCCTTCAGTCACAAGCTTTATAAGCAAAGATGGATGGTGGGATGCAGGTATATCTAGTTGACGAGCCCCGAATAGGACGAAACATGATAGCCACAACCCATCTTTGCTTACCTTCGGACGTTAGTTTCAATGAAACTTGAGACACAACCATTACTTAAACCTGTGGATGAAAGAAGCATGACATCAGATGATCAACGTACAAAATACATATTTAGGTCGAAAGTATTCAGCTGATTATTGTCTTTAATGCGTCTCTCACCTGTAAGCTATTTATAAATAATTTCCACATGCTTGAAGAGTTTTTACAAGATAGGAGTTAATGAGTGAAAATTGAGTTTAGACGTATAATCTCTAGGTTTATTAGACTATTTAGCATTCTAGCTTCTATGAAGTTCTTTTCCTTGTGACTTCTCTTAGTCTCCATTCTTAATCTTTTTAGTTGTGGGCATGTAAGTCGATCAAAACTTACAAAAATATTTACTGCACGGCAATAAACATCAATTCAATGTTTTCTAATTAGTCATTTGTAAATGAATCCCAGTTTGTCGTACTAAAGTTGTTTTCGACTTTCTTCTAAGCAATTCCTACATTTAGCTTTCACTGTTCGATGTAAGAGTGTACTCATTCCAAGCTTACCATATATTTTAGGTGGAACATGAATAATACAAAAATCAGATATAAACAATACAGCACGTTTATGAGTCAGATATATTTGCACATCATCAATGAAATAAAGATAGTTCACCTTACCAATTAGTGATCGCAGTTCAGGAATCGATATCTGAATAACGTTCATTCTTTTCAATGCACATTGTCAGCCTCCATGATGTCTCTGACTGTACTTTTACATAGCTTGTAAAGCGACAGGTTGTAAACTTTTTATATGCATACTTGAATGGGTTATGCGAACAATGGACATAATCGGTGTGTTAATATGAAAAAGGGTAACTTGTTGAAATATGTAAATGGTAGAAACAGGCATCCCAGATATTCAAGCAAACCGCCTTGAATGTTTTGGTGTCACAGTGGTTTAAATGAACTTGTCTACTTCAATCAATGATTGAAATAAATCTTAAACTAAAATATTTTCCTTACAGTTTGGTTTTTGTATGTAAGCTAAATTATCAAATTTCAAGGTGTTATGTAGATATTTTAAAAGACAAATCTAACTAATACACTAAAATTAAACGTACTTGTGTTGAATTTTCACTTTTATACACACTGTTGGTAACTTAATGAAGTAACTATGACATTCATCAGATTAGTAACAGTTTACAGCATGTGAGGATGCAGTTCTTCGAATGGATTAAGATGAGTGTTAAATGTAAACATTATAGTCAAACAAGATACTTTCTTTGTGATTTATACTTGTGTACTTTCTAAAAATATCGTAATATTACATCTCGTTCCCAATCTAACGCCATTTTTCGAGATCTTTTCATTGATTTTCGCTGACTGTGAACAATGTTTTGGTTATTCGTGCTGTTTTACGACTGAATGGATTGTATTAAATATATTCAAGTGTTCAATGTTACAACTTTTGCTTACCCAGTGTGCTCTTCTGAATTAAAATTTTCAAGAAATAAGACTAACTTTTGCTACGAAAATCCTACTTAACATTGTTTTTTTGTCATTTGACACAAACAGAAACCTCTTTCATAGATATCTTATTTAAAGTAGATAGGTTGTCAAAATCTTGAATAAACGGATTTCAAAATCTTTGTCTTATCGAGCCGGCTTAACATACCCGGATATGACAAGGATAAACTTCTGCTTTAGGCTACATGGATGTGCATCCATAGTTTTTTTCCTGCTCTTGTGGAGCAGTTTTCATTGACCGCATAAAGGGATCAGTTTCTGAAAAGCATCTCAGAACATTACACGGCGTGGCTTTGAAAGCGAGACTGGAAAACTATCACCAGCTTAAATTCAACTTAGTATTGTTTGTTTGAATCTTCCCATCGATTTGTTAAGACTGCAACTGGTCAGTCTCTAATTGGCATATGTGCATACTGTGCGTATTGCCTCGATATACCTTAATTCACAAGCATGGTCCTGGATTCCACTGCTAGCCACTATCCATCTCTGCTAACCATGCTTGTGAATTAAGGTATATCGAGGCAATACGCACAGTATGCACATATGCCAATTAGAGACTCACCAGTTGCAGTCCTAAACACATCGATGGGAAGATTCAAACAAACAATACTAAGTTGAATTTAAACTTCACCCCATCGCACAAGCAAGTGGCTATCAGGACTCAGTGGCCGAGTGGATAACGCGATGGCGTTTGAAGCGAGGGTACTGGGTTCGAATCCCAGAGTGAACATCAACTCTGAGATGCAGGTACATCCAGCTGACGAGTCTCAAATAGGACAAAACGCGCGTCCTGGATTCCACTGCTAGCCACTATCCATCTCTGCTAACTATCACCAGCTTAGTTTGGAGCACCTGGGAAGCTGTGAACACGTTGTTTTAAAAGTCACCAAAATAATCTACACAGTCGAAACACTGGGTCAAATTTTGAAAAGATTTTGAATTCACCTTCAAGCAGTGTAAGTAATACGTTCTCATTCTTTTCTAAAGTTATTTGAAAAAATTGGAATATCTTTAGTAGTAAAATTTATCATACTGTTATGTGATAATGCGGAGGCGTTTAGAAATGTATAGTTTCCTTTTGTCTCGACTAACAGTTGGCACGCAAAACGTGAACTGGTTATTAGTCGGAAATTTTGATTATCATCAGATCAACATGACAATAATAACGACACGTATGCTTATCTATCAATCTATCTATCTATCTACCTATCTATCTGCTTTTATTCACACAACTATCAGTAAATTTAGGGATTGTGAAAGTCTCCAAAACTTTAAGGCGGATATTGAATAAGCATATGGAAATATATGAACGGAGTCCTAAAAAATATCATTACTTGAAATGAAAATGATTACATATGAATTGGTTTGCGTCTGTGTAATGTTGGGTATTATTCTTAAGAATTATTATTAGTCTTGAGAAAAGACGAGAAATAATTAATTAGGTATGTATGAGTAAATACTTTCTGTATATGTTAGTACTAAGTTTAAGTCAATTTTTAAACTTTATATTTCTTCAACCTTATAATTCTTGAGATTAATTTATTCTTTTTCCAATATTCATTGATGTTATCATCTTCTTATGATTTATATAATAATTCAATTCCTTATGTATCAATGTGGAGGCATCCAAATCTTTTCAGATGGCTTTATTTATAAACATGTGTTTTCTCGTTGTCGATGTTAAAGACTGGGATTGGTTACTTTATTTCCCTAAATACACATCCAGAATGATTTATCTCGATACCAACATTTTTCCGGAGGTTTTTTAAAAACTATCTTGGTTATGACTGGCAGTGGAACACATGTTACTCATTTAATCCTAATTATAACTCTTTGTCTCGATTCTCCTGCATTCTAGTGATGAAGTTTTTACAGAGACTTCGATCCACAAAGTAAAAACACATGAATACACAACATATCCATCGTAGATTAACGTATTTCCTAATATTCACTTTAGTTTAACACAGTTTATCGAATCATAATACACTTTTGAACAGTTCATTTTACATAAATATGTGTTTCTACATATTTCGTTATTCAACTAGTCTGTTTTAAGTGATGAAGACGTTTTAATCAAGCTTAGTGAAACGTGAAAAATTCTTAGTTGAAGAATAAAAATGACAATTAACATACCTTTTCGCCTATTCGTAATCCTCTTAGTTGTGTTCAATGATTGGTTGGCAATCACTACGGTTTTTCTCGACTATGGTGTTATGGAGTAAAGTAAACTGGAGTGTTGGATGTGTACTTCGGTAAGTGGTTAGAAGAAGCCAACGGGAAACAGGTTCTATGCTGTTAGCACTCGTCAACAACCAGTACCAACAATTTTGACAGTATGGATATTCCTTATGGGATTTAAACCCGAGTCATCAACTTCCTTAGTCTGAAATATTACCAACACTGACTTCCTGGAGAACGAAGATATTTACGGTTGGTTGGTCAGTGAGCAGTGACCAATATCATATTAGTTTAGTCTATTAGTGCTGATGGAATCCTATTGATCGTTATTGTTTTTCTATTTTGATCCTTTTTAAAAATATTTGATCCCTGAGAGATCGGAACCCATGTCGTTCTCCTTTGTAGTTTGAGATGTTATTATTGAACTATCCGAGGAGCAATTTAGAGTTAGACTAGATAAATATGTCACTGGTCACCACTTAGTGATCATTCTGTTTTTTATGCAATTTCCCCTGTGTTTTTGTGAACCCGGTTATTATCAATATTAGTCGACTAAATATGCAACATGTTAATCATTTATTTTTACTAATAATACCGTCAAAAATATTGCACTTTTATCATTAGTAAAAATAAATTTACTTGTTAACATAGCCACTTTTATCTTACATTTCCTATAGGAGACGGGGTAATTACATTGGATGAACTTAGTAATTACTTATTACTACACGAAATCCACTTCGCACATTGACCAATGAAAATGTTGAATTTTTAACAAGATCATATGAATTAGATCATATTGATTTCATACATTATAATGCAATCGATTGAAAATATTGACTTTCAACTGAAATTTAATTGCGGTCCACATTATATAGGAAGATGATTCCCATACCATATTATATTTATGTACATCATGTATAAACTTAATAGTATACATATATAGTTCATCATCCAAATAACGTATTCATCGGATTTCTAATCATACAGGGCTATTTAGCCAAATATATCTTTTTCTGGAGCAAAAATTTATACTTATTTGTAACAGGGATATTCTTTAATTATGCAATTAATTCTCTTTCTACCATTTTTATTATTTAATCCATTTTCTTGACAAATTTAATTCAGCTCGTTTATAAATTCACTTTAGCTAACTCTTCGTTGTTTTATTCTTATTCGAATTCCTGATTTACCTTACTTTTTACCTTTTCTGATGAATTTTTTTCATATATATATATATATATTGGATAATTAACTATATGCAAACCTTTCCACATTGCAATAACTGAACAATATTACCTGTCATTTTAATGTCATTTAACAAGTGACCATGTACACGTAACTCATTAACTTTTTCTAAGAAAATGCATTCAGTACTCATATGTGAATGAAAATCCAATTTTTTTAAAGTATATATATATATATATATATATATATATATATATAAGCCATTCATAATTCTTTTATGTAATAAAATTTTCATCATTGTCACTAATCAGTAATAATGATGATAATGAACATGTATCACAAAATTGTTTACAGAAATCGAAAGGAAAAATGAGTAGGGTTGTTCATTCCGCGTTATCATTTTCTGAACTTTCTGTATATCATTAACAAATTATTGGACTGATCAATAAGCAATCCTAAACATCTATTATGATTACCTGTGCCTTTTGTTGATGAGCGACAACTAGTCCGAAACCTATTTTAATAAGAGTATATTGCTGAATTACCCCAACTCTCTAGCATAAATGGTAATATGGTAGGTTGTGACAGACACAAAATGACGTGGGTTAGAATCTTACCTAAAATGTCAGTTATTTCAAGATGTCAGACATGTCCTGCTGATTAGTGGCAATTTGTACGAAACATATGTTGAAGCTCACTTGACGGTTGCCTTTATCTACATGGAAGTAGTTATTATTACAACCTTGAATCACTATGTTTAAACCGTTTAACTTGATGTCCTGACTTAGTGACTTGTTTATTATCAATAACCTACTAGATTCCCCTTCAATAGGATGCAATCAGATAGGGAGAATCAGATAACCGATTCAACCTTTACAACTGATTGACCACTGGGTAATGATCAATAACATGTATGTTAGCTCCTTCAGATGAAATGCTATCGATCAAGTTACCATTCGGCCACTAGTCAAGGTTAGGCGATAATGCATAGGTCTCAGTCCTGCAGGAGGTCATTCGCCGCCCGGATTTTTCAATGGTAACGTCTCCGACTGTGAAGCTGGGTGACGCGGGATCGAATCAGTTAGGGAGCATAAGTTCCCTCCAGATTACAGGTACACTTTGCTGACGAGTGCTAAATAGCATGCAACGTGGGTCCAGGGTTTCCTTCCTCCAATTCACGACAGGATATCACCTCAATTTTTTTTAATTATTGAACATCATTCTATTTTGTCACAGACTACTGCTTTAGCGAACAAAATTAACTATAAATACCTTAGTATAGCTTAAAAAGACTGAAATCGTTGAAAAAGAAAAATGTCTTCGTTGAATTTCTCTCATTCTTCTTCAGTGACACAGTGAACCCCTAGTTATTACTCATTAATTTACATTTCCAACTTCACTCGATTGATCGTCAACTGTCCAGTGCTTTCCGGTTTACGATGGTTACCTAACTAAAATCGGTTTGTGAAATAACTATGAGATATGAACATTGATTGTTGTTTTGTAAGTAAACAAATTAAAATACTAAAACTGTAATTTCATGTTGTAATAACAACGATATTAATAAATGTTATTTATAATTGTTGTCTCAACGATTCTTGACATAATCCACTGGATTTGTCCAGTAATATGATAGACAAAGGTGTTGTCTTCACTATCATCGTTGGTAGTATGTTGATATTCGCTTAATGTAACATCTGAATGTGCTGTTTGTTTTATAACATGATAAAAATGACATGAACATCTTGCATAAGCATGAAAATGATTAAGTCTTGTCCAAGTGATTTGGTGTGTTGCGATAATTGACCAATTATATTCGTTCGTCAGTCTGGTTAGTTTTTGATTCCTTTTATGTTCATGCATTCGTCTCGACTAAATAAAATGTGTACACATGGAGAGTGATTGAAGACGCATTATAAGCACTCAAAGAATTTGAATTTATTTATTAAACATTGAATTTAAAATAATTAGTTCTTGATGATGTAATGTTCATTTGTTTCATCAATCTAACTACTACACATTTGTATTTAAAGCACGAACTAATCTAAGCTAAGCAATCCTTGACAACCTGAAAATGATTGGCTGTTTCATCCTAGCATGGAACTCCTCAGCAAGCGCATTCACTATCCCACCATGGCATATAGGACCTAGGAACTTCAGTTTCATACGCTAAAACTTAACCTCGAGACCACTAAGCCGGCATCCAATGGTGTTATTGCATAACTTCAGTCAATTCGAGATATTGAGTGACCATCTTCCATTGTCTTTGGTGGATAATCGTCTCACATCCAAAACGGTTGTGATCAACTAGTCACGGCATCGGACCAGAACTGCGGAAATTTCCTTTTAAAGCTAGTCACTGGTGATCAGAAGTTAACTTTCAGCATCAAGGTTGTGAAGACTCGAATTTTGCAATTACTGAATGTTTAATTAGATGGACCGGTGTCAGTAAGATCTTTAAAAATATGAAGTATTCATATCAGTGTATCACAGTTGATGAAACATTAAAATTCAAGAGCTAAAAACTGTTAGTAATTGACGTCATGATGCTGTTGAACAAATGATCTTCGCATAGTTAGAAGTGTAACTAATTATCTAAATAATTTGCAGTATTAGTTCGCTGCATATGGCAAAAAATACTTGTTAGAGTTTCAATGAATGATCGAGATTTTCGTTTTTGTTACGATATGCAAGGAGTTCCTGACATTTTTTTCAATACATATTTGTCCACTGACCTTTGCTGTCATCTGACTGAGTGTTCTAGCCTTTAGTTTACTACTTTTGTCATGTGTCTTAAGATCATATGTTGCCATTTAAAAAGAGTTATTCTACCATAGTTTTGAGTCACGTTTACAATGTTAAGGGCCCTTGTGGAAGTCTCTTCTTTTTTCTTTGTCTCTCGTATGGATTTTTAACATTGAAATGATACAATCTGATAGTCATGTTATCTGTCTAGATCATTTTTATCATGACTGATGTAAGAAAAATCTCCCAGCACTTCATAACAAACATATTAAGAAACATTTATTTGTATTTGTTTATATTACGTAATAATAATTAATGGATGGTGTTATATCGTAGTGAAGAAGTAAGTACGGATAACTTACGGGACCTATAAATGGACTATTATACTGCATATATTCCTATTGTATAACGATTCAGTAACTAGATTATGCTTATCTATATTCATCTTATTATAAGCTTCATTTTGACCTGTTGATTATTATTATACGATTTACTGTTCCTAAATTATACTCAATTTATTGATTATTGCATCCCACGTTCACAGTCACATTTGGCTTGATTTTTTACAAACATTGTTTTCTATTTGATGGTGTGGTGCGGTCTGTCTGTCTAGTATATAAACCGAGTATGCTTGAAATAAATGATTCGCATAGCAGAAGCTGCAATTGGTGTTCTGGACTCAATTGGGAGGGCTAGGCGGACAAAGGACCAATAAGGACGCTAGATTACTCATATTGATCGAAAGTTATTGATTTGGCACAATGTTAAGATTGGAAAAGTCGTATTTGGATTGGTGGATAAAAGCCGGACATAAAAGTCAATAACGAATTAGGATACGTCCTTTGTTTATTTTGTAAAGTCACAACAGATGGGTGAGTTGAATTTTACAAAATAACATATGTATTTTTAAAGTCATCATAACTATAAATGTCCGAACAAGTTAAAAATAAGGGTAACTTTCCGTAAGTTTTTTTGAGACATCTGATAACTCATTCTAATATCAAAGATGTATAATCTACCTGTCTGTTTTTCAATCCTTTGATTTCAAGCTCAGAGCACAGGATCATCTACATCAATTTCTAAAACTAAGTAGTATTATAAGTACATTCATTCAAAATGCGGCCCAAAGTCAAGTTTACACATTGATACGTGGTAAGTGAGTCATTGAACTACTGTGTTTTGTCACCAGTGGATAACCATTCCAGTACTGACTTGGATGACTTTACAGATCTCTGCCTTCTCCTAGTACTTTAGAAAATTCATTTCCAAACTGGGCACCAATATATCAATACATCTATGTCACTGTAACAAATTCTGGGCCTTGACAATCAACGTTTCAAATCGTTGGCTACAATAACTTCGCTAAACTCAAAAAGGTTGTCTTCGCCTACAAAAAACGACTCAGTTCGACACTCAGAGACTTTATGGACTGAAAAGGCTGCATCCAACTTCCCTCCAACCAACTTAGACACTAGCAAGCATCGAACATCAAGATAGGCGTTGATTAGATAAAAATTGTAAAGATATCTTACATATATAGTTACTCACCCAGTTTACAAACGGCAAACCATCAACGGGTGTGTGAAAACCAGCAGAATAATCTTTGATATACACTTTGACGGAACGAAATATTTTTCTGCATAGTAATTAGTGCAGCAGTGAAAAATGATAGTACAGTAACTATATTTTCGGTGCAAGTTTTTGATATGGTACAATTTCAAGCAAAATAATGATAACTTGATAGACAGATCATCGAGAAGTCTGAGTTCTGATTGGCATTAATGATTACCCTCTGTCAAAAAAGCTGCTCTGTGAAAAGTAGACTAATTGAAACACAAGTAACTGTGTATGGTTTGTGGAAATTGTTACATTTCGTTTTACAACACGGACTCAGACAGCCAATAAAACAAGCAGACATTGGATATCTGTTTTATTCTATTATAAACATTCATGATCGGACCGGGTCTTAAACACAGATCATTCAGATCTCAAGCGGAATGCTTAAAATTTAGCACACAGTTGGAAATTAGTGGTTTACGCTTCTAACTTTAATTAATTCACGATATTGCTAATAAGAATTGAAGTGTCAAGGATTATTTACACAATAAGGTGTTTGAGAGAGAATGTTTCTAAAAACAGGCAAATAGGTCATTAGATACAATTTTCAGATAATGTGATGGGCTTTACAAAATCACCCTATTACAAGCTAAAAAGCCACGCGATATTAGTCGATATACAACACTATAAAACAACCAAATGTTAAAGTCTCTTCCAAAATAATTTTTTGTCATTTGAAATAGCCTACAAGTTGAAATTCGAAAAAAAACATCCATTTTATACAAGAGATATACAAACTTCTAGATGACTCTAAGTAAATTTAATTTTATCATTATCATTCAGCCATTTGTATCACTCAGATCATACCTGTAAATTGAAGTTTATTCAATACGAGTTTTCAAATTATTTTTCATCATTATCATTATTATCATATTCATCATCAATTTCAATCATTACCTTTATTTAGAACCATGAATACTGGTTGTGAGTTATTGTATGTTTGGTTTTATGCAACAAATACTTTTTCTAAAATTTCTAAACTACTGTATTAACTAGATACTTTCACGGTCATTCTTTGATTGTGCCATTTAATTAGCAAATAAATCTACAAGTCTATTGATTATATGAAATCAATATATATATATATATATATATATATATATATATATATATATATAAGGTTGGAAAAGAAATGATACAATAATTCGACCATATTGATCATGAGACAATTACTTACCAGTACCATTAAAGAAAGATAGCGTAATGTTGCGAATTAATTAATATTAGAAATGTAAACTATGAGCTGCTGATTCAGTGGTGTAAAGGTTAAGCGGGTACATCGACACCTAACTGTCCTTGGTATGTTTATTGATGCGGTCATAGTTGTACACTACTGAGTTCGATACAAGGATTAAACAACAATCCAACTTTTCCTGATTTTCAATGTGTGTTGAAGATCATCTCGTCATTTAAACCGTAAAATAAGTAATGTGTTTGTTGTTTTGACAATATTTTTGAATCAAAATCCATAGATACCATTTATGAAATACGTCATTTCATAAAAGCCTCTTTTCAAAGTGGAATACTTCATAATAAATTTATATCATATGATATAAATTGTAGTTTTGTCAAATGACACAGAAATCAAAATGGTCTCATGATTAATCAATATTAGTAAGCGTATGAAACAGATAATTAGGGATGGGTTTGTATGACCTTCTAAAACTTAATTCCAAAAACAACTTTTTGACTTTTTTTACGTTTAGTCAGCTATGAACTGACATTATGTCTTACTACTCAGATCAACGTCTAAAAACGACAATAGAGATGAAATTTCTAAGTAACAGTCAAAATTCTCATTTCAGATGGTGAGACTTTAATTAACGGACGACCTTTGAGCGACGCTAAAATGATCTAAGAACTAGTGTTAAATGAGGGTTATAAACCAGTGTGAGTAATTAGAACTAAGGTTTACAGTTGATGGTCAAGATTAGGGATTAGATTTAGGGTTTTCATCACGAACTGACATCAGTTTTAAGGTCAAAACGCTATTGAGCCAAATGGATAAGCAAATTTCGCGCCAAAATCCGAGACCTGCTATCGTATACCTGATTGTTCGTCTATAAATTATGGTCCCACCCATCAGGAAATTCTAAGAAATCTAAAATCATTTTAGAAACACGGTGTGCTACAAAAAGCATATCAACAGGCAAATCTTTACTAATTTACCCGTAAACGGTACTAAGTTGACCTTACCATCAATGAGAAAAAAACCTACACGAAATCACCGAAACTTACGAAACTGCCAGTCACACACTAAGTTTTCATGATCGACAGTTTAAATGTCCGTAAAATGTCCTGGTCTTAAAGCGTTTTCTGGAGGCCAATAAATAAATTATATTTTCACAATGTTAAATGTTTCGGAGATAATCAATGAGAAAATTATTTATTATTATTATTTATTAACCGTCACTCTAAATCAGGCCATAACTTCCATTCTAAGGAAACTACTGCTTCCCTCAGTATTCGAATCCACGTCATCCGAAGTGACAGTCTACGATGCCTTATTGAAACTCAGTTGAAAGGGATTTATCAACACTAAGGACACGACGAACGTGATATTAATTGCTATTCAATGGTCAGTCATTGTCTGCTCACTTTAGAGTTATATATCTCTGGCAAAGTACTTGCAATTTCACTTTGTTTTACAAACAATGAATTAGTAATGTTTGACTGGTCAAATATTCTAATAGCTTACTTGGATGAAAAGTAATATAAAATGGGGGTATTTTCAGCAATTATTGTTAACCTTTAGACAGTAAATAATTTCATTTAGATAGATATTTTTTCAGCCACAATCGATTGTACCACATCTTAAACATCAGTTAGTTGTATGAATAGTACAGAGCGAAAATAACCTACTGCTTATCGATAAATACTTGTATTGCCTTTAAATGGTAAGAATTTAACCATCGTACACCACCCACGAACAACAAAGCTTCATTGAATGTTTGGTTAAACCTGTCATGATGAGAGGGAGATAGAAAAAATGGGTTAGAGTTTGGGTTGTGGATGGAGGTGATGTGTAAGAAATAGGCAACAAGATAGAGATCTATGGTAGAGAGGCACTGTAAAGATTGAAATAATAATAATATGAATGGCTGAAATTCATTTTAGTGTAAATTAATTAGGGAATAAAGAACAATTAAATCACTATATATAAAAGAAAAGATGGATGGTAGCTAGCAGTGGAATCCACTACGTGCATTTCATCCCATTTGGGACTCGTCAGCTGGATATAACTGCACCTCATAATTAATGTTCAGTCAGACATTCAAACTCGGTACCCTTTGCTTGAAAAGTCATCGCATCATCTACTCAGCCACTGAGTCCGGATAGCCACTTGCTTGTACAACGGGGTGAAGTCTTAAATTCACTCAATATTATTTGTTTGAATTTTCCCATTAATATTGATTCCTACAAGTGATAAGTCTATTCTTTGCATATGTGCATACTGTGCATATAGCCTAGATATTGCCTTTAGTCACAAGCATTATAAGCATATATATATATATATATAACATTATCATCCATAATTTCACCATAGTCCTAGGCTTAAAGGTAAGTCGCATATTTTCGTTTTTGTTCTATCGTCGCACTATTTAAATGAACACAAATATGAGTGTACATTTGCTTGTCTATAAAACACATGTATACATACTAAATACACATGCAACCTGTTGATTTAAAGAAAAATAATTCCTCAGCGTATCTATCGATTAATGAAATGCTTGCTCTATTAACAATACACTAATTTCAAAATATATAAAGAGTAATGTGCATTTTCAACTTACATAAAAAGTGATTTTAATAAGCCGTTGAATGAATTTCTTTTATTTTTATTATTTAATTGTGATTTTATTGAATAATCTGGGAAATATGTAAATCGTGTAGTTATTGTTGCACTGTTAATTAGCGTTATTTGATCATGTGTTTCTTGAACATGGAATAGTGTTTTGTTTATACGATACAGTAATGAATACATTAAAGCCCGTAAAGTTGAATCACCCAAAAAAAGAAGCTAAAACAAAATAGTATGTTTATATATTTTTTTTTCAGAAATCAAGGATAATAAAGTATCTTCAGATTTCCTAAACACGAACCAATATCATGAAAAAAAGTTCGTATCATTTCAACCTAGTGAATACATATACACCCAAATATTTATTTAAGAAGAGTAACATTTATCGAACTAAAATAATTAAATTGGAGAAGTTAAGTAGTATTCAATAAACAAAGTACTTAAGATTTTCAACAAAGCAAATAGTTATGTATCATGTACATTCTGATGAGGATTAGGTGCTGTATGTAAGAGTTTAGGCTATCTCAATTTAGTGGTTGCAAGTTAGATTGTACTTAATTATCCTGATTATATTTTTGAATATTGAAGGCTTAGTGTAGTGAACGAGAACACAGGTAAGGACAACCGATCAAAGTTGCTTGATAATATAGAAAAATCATACTCTGATACTTCATTTGTAAAATGTTCATTTATTGTCTCAGGCTTTATTGTTCCTGGATTTCTACGTCAATAGTTTTCTGTTTCTGTTCTTCCCTTCTCGATCTTCTCAATCTTCTGCTGCCAGATATTCTATTCTTCACTCACGATATATACTACTTATGTCAATATAAGTAGTCCACATCACATTATTACTAATGATTATCGAGATGTATTTGAATTCAAGTGTCTAAATAAGGTGACTTCCGAAGTAACCTTAAAGATGTTTTGACCCTTTTCAGAGAATCAAACAATAGTGAATATGAAAGAACGATTTTTAACAGAAGATGAATTGGTTAGAAATCTTTTTTTACATTATACAAGAAGGTTGTTGTGAGATCTTTTATCGATTTGAAAAATATTCGATAAAGATACTTATCCAGATGACTTCCATAGCTTTCTTACTCAAAAGCCTCTTTGCAAAGCTTCTTCTACTAACCTGAAATGTCTTACATGTTTATAGTGCGTACTCTTGTAGTGACGATTAAAATTCAAATCGGAATTAATCACTAAATGTTTATTTAACACAGTGCAGTTGTCCAGGTATGTTTGTAAGAGTAATCTGCTCAGGTCTTTTTGGTTCTTCTTACCATGTGCATTATAAGAAGTATTTATTTGACTTTTCCCAACTTTCTGTGGGAAAAAATCTTTTCTCATTTCTCGTCGTCTTTAATACGTATCGTAATCAAATGTCACTTCATCTCGTAATCTTTTCCATTCCTTTAATATTACTCGTCATCTGCGATCATTAACAAACTAGTTCTTTAACAGTTCGACTTTTTAATAGAAAGCTCATTAGTGTTTTCCTAATCAAAATGTAGGGAATAATTGTTATCTTAGATCGATATATGTGGTGTAACTTCAAAGTGACCTATACTTTCCTGACTTCTTCGGAACTATAATTACACAAATACAACCAATCTATTTGTCAAGATATTTAGTCATACAATAATTTGTAAACGTATATGATATCGTTAATAATTTTAGTGTTCATGACATTCCATTGTAAATAGTTAGGACTGAGGTAATCATTCCCTGTTGTCATATAAATTGTGTGAATGAAAATATTAGGGGTTGTGATTAAATAATCAATGCAACAGCGTAAACTGATAAGTGTAACCGTAAAATATCAACAGTAAAAATATCCGACAGCCTGCAAAATAAAAATTTACCGCCATAGGAAATTATATCTATCTATCTATCTATCTATCTATCTACCTATCTATCTATCTATCTATCTATCTATCTATCTATATCTATATATATATATATATATATATATATATATATATATATATATATGTTCTCAACTAAAACTCAACAATCTCCATAACCCTGTAGAGAAAAATATATAAGTAATATACACTATTTAATCCAGCTTCGAAAGCTCTGAATTTCTTGCAGTTTTTGTTGACATGTTGATCATGATACTTGAATCTAGTGAGCTTATAAATTTGCGTGTCACTTATACTCCAATAGGTTGTTTCAAATTTTCTTCGATTTCAGGAACCTTCGTCCATACCGATTTTAACCAACCCAATCAACTGTAGGTCATATTAGCATACCAAATTAAGTATTAAAATAATTATGATAATAAGATATACATGTAAATAAGTTGTAGGTATAACAGATTGCCAATTCTGTCTTTTTTTCCATTTCACATTTTTGGCTGATGTCATCATTTTCGTTTTCAGTGTTTAATAATAGTGTTGAATAAAATACTTTTGACCAGTTTTTCTTATATTCATGCGGTGACTACTGCAATTCAGAATATAATTTACACTATAAACTTTATTTAAATAGTTTAAAAATCTCTATAAAGTATTCAAAAATGAAGAATATTTAAGCGAACAATCGTTTTCAATAACTTTATCACCAGGCTCTACAGTTAGAAGTCCGTACTTATGATGCTTTACAAAGGCCAAAACAAGGCATTATATCACAATAAAGGAGGCTTTCTTTGTTTTATATGAAGTTCCAAAGAATCTAGATTACGACTACTCTACATAGCCTAGGCCATCTGTATCAACTCTAGAAAACCAGACTTATGTATCCAGAAGTCATATCCAGCCTTTATGTTTACCTTGGCCTACGACTTGATCACCGGACACCTAAACCGAAACTTATAAACCTCTTACCCCGCCTTCCATTTTTTGATTACGTATACCTTAATCTTCACATACATCTTCCCCAATTCATATGAATTCTTTTGCATCGTAATTGCCCCGATAATACTCCTCTTATTACATATTATATTCACACAATAGAATTATTATTATCATTATAATTATTACGATTGGTATTTTCGTTATTACATCAGTTAACAAGATAAAATTCTCTTACTATGTATTTTATCCAACCGATTTTCTCACTTTCATTTTTGCTATATTACTATTATACTGATTATAACTTGTCACTGTAATAGTTGAATTCATGAGTCGATTAAACCTAGACTACCATGGAAAACCTGGAAGCATTAGACAGCTGTTTCGTCCTAGTATGGGACTCCACAGCAAAGAGCATCCACGATCTTGCATGCGGGACCCGAACCCAGGACCTTTGATCTCACAAGCGAACGCTTAACCTCCAGACCACTGGACTAGTATCAACGGTGTTAATGTCTGACTTGACACTTTACTCCAGGTCATTCTTACCTTTAATAAATGACCTTTTTCAGTTTACAAATAATACAATTTTAAAGTAAATATGTCGTAAAGGATGCAAACGTTCAATATTTTTAACATATAACATTGGCTAATTTATTATTGCATGTCTTATTTGGCCGTCGTAAATATCATTATAATGGACTTCTAACTGTAGAGCCTGATGATGAAGTTATTGAGGACAACTGTTCGCACAAATATTCTTCGTTTTTGTTTTAATGGTCAATTCCTGTTGTTTTTGCGTTTTTCATCTAACATGTTGACCTCTGCTATACAAAACGTTTTACAATAGACATTTGAGGATAACTGTTTAGTGAAGCGTTTACCGCTGTATGCAACACACCGACTAAACGAGAAGGAAAATCCCGATAAATGTTAGATACGACTTACTCGATCAGGCCTAAAGACGTTAAGATTATACCTCAGTTCAAGTTCTTAATACCTAAACTTGTTAATCCAAAGTACAATAAAGAGGTTGACAGAATAATCAGTGGTACTCTACCAGAAATATTCAATACAATTCTCATCTAGTTTTTCCTGTTACCTATAGTCACAAATATCTACATACCGGTTGACTTTGGAAATAAACCGTGGCACATATTTAGAGCTTTAAGATTATGAGTTTGGGGGGATGTATGGAAACTGTTGATTACTCTTTCACACCCTAACATGGTTAAACTTTACCGGACACAGCCTTTAATTTGAACTTCAGGAATTGCTCCCTGAAGCTAGTCATTGATAAACTCATGATTATTATTATAAAAATATATGGAGACCTTTGAACTTTCTTAGTTTTAACCACGAACTGATGATAGCTAGACTACGGTGCGCAAGATCAATGAACCTAAGTCCAATGCTTGGGAGGTGGCGATAAATACTCATTGATGAGGTCATATACGAGGACGAAGCATCCATCCAGTGCTTCCTACTTTTAGGTAGTGGTCTAACGAAGATCAGTTAGTGAGCCAAATTATTGAATTGTAATTGACTCGTTGCCGAATGTCAGCTATAACGATAACATCTACATGGTATTATATTATAATCATCATCATCATCATCATTATCGTCATCAAAAGTTACATAATGTAAATAACATATAGGATCTCAAATCATTATTATTGTTGCGTTGTAATGGACGTGAAATAAAAACAGTTTCCTCTGAATCGTTGTCGTTTCATAATTTTTTACACGCACATATGCAAAATTCAATATGACCGCTTTTTATGATAATAAATCAATCATAAATTCATAGTGATGATAGACAGACGGAAATGTAAAACTGCTCTACTTTAAAAAATAATTCTAACAAAACTATAGGTAACTATTAAACACAAAGTTAAAAACTGATTTATGATATGTATTAAAATGAATTGCACAATTTACATGACTTCATCACTAACTTATTGAATAGCATATTTTGTTTATTCTTAGGCATCAAGTGTATAGTGATATTGCTGATCAATCCGTGAACAATGCAAGATGAAATGGAGGTAGATGCTGAAATTCCGGAATTGTAGTCGGTACTCATTTGCAACGCATACCTGAGGAGACTGTAAGGAGTGATTCTCTTATAAAGATTGAAACTTGCTTTCGTGAGCTTCGTAGCCATAGGTATGATCACATTGCTGTTTCTTATGCGATTGAATTCAATCGATCACATTGCAAACCCGAATGTTTTGTAACTTAGTATTCAGCAATTATTGAATTCTATCAATCTGACTCTTAGTGTGGTCACTAAGCATGGTAGGGGTAAGTACCACAAAGGATGTGACAGGATGATGTGAACTATCGACCAGTTACCTTCAGCATAAATAATTTATTCAAAATAAAAAATTAATAGTATAATCTAAGTTGACTTCGCGAATCAATTGAAGTTAGAATAACAATCCATTGGACATCAACTGAGTAGCCTGAATACTTACGCGCTAGCTGAAAGACCTAAAGATTGTGGGTTTATTCTCTGAATGATTCATAAATGTGGACGGCGAAAACACCCTATATTAGGACAAAACATGTGTCTACTGCTTCCTGGTTTCTAACGGTTGTCAATTTAAAACCGCCTTGTGCATATCAAAAAGTTTAGCTGAAATAGTTTTATTGGAAGTTGCTGCTTTTAAAAAGATGTCATTTTCATTGTCTCTTACACTCAATCAGACAAAATATCTGAGTGTAGATATTTATGTGTAAATTGTCCTTATCTTGTTGAAAAACGAAGTCTTAAAACAAATGAATGATTTTGCAAACATTTAGCCTTGTTTTAAAGAATCAGTAAACATTTTGTTCATAAGATCACAGAAAATGTTCTCCAGTCTTAATAAAAATATGCTATCAATCACTTAACAGTTAATTAGCTAGCAAACTGGTGTATTAGTCAATTTCATCCTTAGAAAAATAATAAATGCACACGAAATATACTACTTACTATACGGCTTCTTAAGTAGGTTGTTATTAGAATTTTATCATTTTGAATTTTTTTTTTATTGTATAAACAGGGATAGATTGGATTATTAGGTTCATACCATAGTGCATTTGACCAATCACAATTTATTTCATTTGATATATGATTACAACTCTTACAAGGGATAAACCACGCAGAATGTATAATCTGCAATCCTATAAATTGAAAAAAACGATTTAGAGTCAACTAAAGCAAGATGAGAACATCCTCACATTTGGACTAGTATAATGTACTTATATACGTTTATTTGAAGTGCAACTGATTGAAAAATCGGTATAAACTGTGTGTAATATATGTTTACTCATGACTAGAACAGATTTGTATAAGTACTGTAACTGGAATATCGGGCAGGTAAAGCTGCATATGGTAAATAACACCCCGAAAAAAGAAGAAACAGTCAAACATACAAGAGGTGCACTCATTAAATTATTCTGATTATTTCTACATGATAAATATACTTTCCTCGTTTTATATATATACGTATATTGACAAAATATTTCTCCCATATTTTTATTAATCTAATCACATAATTTTGCTGATGTCTTTGTATGCAGAAATTAGATAATTAGATTCATCTAACGTTTTTAGTATAAAATCCAGGAGGCTGGACTTTTGAACTGTAAAGATACCAGTACCATTAATTGTTAAAAATATAGTGGAGTATGAAGGATCTGTCGAGAGAATTAGAGGTCGGTCTAATTATGTGAACCTTAAAACCCAGTACTCTTTTAATTGCTAATGATATTTCACGAAAACATTTCGAAATGAACATCAGCAGATTGATTTACCTGTATTATTTACCTTTTATTAACAAGTGAAAAGAGAAACATTCAATTACTTTTATGTTGAATATGCAAAAAAGAGATTGCCTTTTGTTAAAATTAGTAAAATTTCGAATGCATTGGATATCGTTAGTAGTAATAGTTTGAGCGATCTTGTCACAAACATCCACTATTACATTTTGATCTGTCTCTTTGCATATACGTACATCCTTTACTGATTGAAAATCCGTCCCTTATATTGTCAACGGGATGACACAATCCTTTTGTACGTAAGATATTAGCACCATTTCAGTTGAATAAGATTGTGGTTGTGTAGACTCACTACCTCGACGGCTAACTATCAGGAAGTTCAAAGCAAAGGATACCGGGTTCGAATATCATTCAGATTTAGTAAAATCTAGCTGACGAATCTCAATCAGTATGATACTTTTATCTTTGATTACCCTATTATCTACAATCCATCTATTTTAAACTCTGGTGTTGTACTGGAATGAGTGTTAAGCTTACAGTTTTGAATGGGAGGTGAAATCCACTGAAACATAGATCCTTGTTAGTGATAGGCACCAATATGAGAAAAATTAGAAACTTGAAACCAACTGTTATAAACTTCAACCATTAACACACATAATAAAACTAAACAGTGCTACCGAATAATTAGAGATTTTAATTACAATTTAACTAATGGGTGGCCCTATATTAGATAATATTATGAAGTACTTAAGTTGTATGGAATCGATAAGAAAGATTTGACTCTTTCGCTGACGAGTAAGTGTGGTACAGTGTAACAGAAAAAATATCCTGCTTAATGATTACTGTTTTGTTATCATTCTAATTCCAAATATGAACCAATAAGAACCGGCTTTCTTTTTCAAAATGAATTTAAATGAGGCTTGTCAGATTAGTATTGTATTGGATAATATACTGATAGTTTAACGGACCTAGTGATTTTCATATAAGACGCTTAAATTATTATCTCAAAACATCCTTTTCTAAATCTTTCAATTAAGTTATAAAATGTACGAAGGCTTCAAATAATCTATTGTTAAAACATTTATGTGTAGAGAAAGAAATCAGGTCGCATTTGATCCCGTTATAAAGGTTAGAATCTTTTTCATTACTGATGCTGAGAATTAGAATCGATTAGTTTCTTTTGATATATTTGCATCCTACTCTGCGTAATAAACTGAAATTAAATGAGTGAATATCTGATTAAAAATTTACTGATTTCGGGATGGACAATCATTTATAAACTATGAAAATTTTATAAATCATATAAACACAATTAACTTATTTGGATTTCATTATTTTTCTAGCGCTAAATTCTGTGTAGGTGGTAATAAGTGATAGTGGTGCAATGTGCTTTCAAGTTTTTGTTACTTATTTCGTGTCCTGCTAAGAAAGTTTTTTCAAAACTAAGTACATTTACCTCTATGACAAAAGAAAGATGTTAGAAAATTACAAACTCGATAGAAGTATTCATTTAATCCTATTTGCATATTCTTAAAAAACTTTTACGCACACCTGAAACGTGTCAAAACAAATTCATTTAAGAAAGGTAATCACTCGATAATTTTGATGTTTGATTATAATTCCTTGAAAAAGCTTGGACCAGATTGCCAGGCGAAACGTTGGATTTAATTTAAAAATTCATTCGCTGAGATTTTACAAATATATTATTCCTATTTAATGTCTTACTTCAACTCGGCGCTCAAATATTGTGAAACTATTCGTTCTAATTTAGACGAGAGTTCTTATATAAAATAATCACTGACTGAATTAACCAGTTACTAGGAAGTATTATTATTCAACCATAAATTGTTCGCGTTAACCTATTACATATTTCGTACTATATTTTGAAAAGAATTATCCTAGTGAAGTTCATAGACAACACAAATATGGATCAATGTTAAAACTTTACCCTGTAAGGCTGTTTGACCCGAAGTCAAATATCACAAGCAGCATCGATTCCTTAAAGATTACATATAGGACTTGCTGTTCTCTATCAAATAACATTAAACCGACGTTCAAAGCATTCTGCCGACTACCTACAACGACTTAGCAATAAACATTTTTATGATTCAAATATGTTTATTCGCTTTAAAAGTGTTTGAGATCACTTTCTAAAATAAAACTTAAGGGCTTGATGATATATGAAGACTATCTGTGAAAGAACTAATAATTAGTAAATCATTTGTCACAGAGTTTTTGTCATTACAACTAGTTTCCACATGATTACCATGGTCAGTTGAACAAAAAGAACATAGTTCGCAAGTAGAGTTAATCGAATTTCAGTGCACATTAGAGGCATTTTACAGTATATACGTAGTAAGTCTCTTAAAATAAACATTTTGAATCAAAAAGAGTTCGAGAAAGTTTGAAATATATGATTTTTATATCAAAAATCAGTCATTATGTTCCTATACACAGTTCTTCACTGATGAAGATAAGCCAGAATTCACAAAATCTATGCATTTCAATATATTCGAGATTTTTTATCATTCAATTTACCAATGAAATATTGAAGATCTGTTCCAAAATTAAAATATATATACGTTTTGAAATTTATTACATAGCTCTTCAACTCTATAATAGGAGCTGTTTTATAATTCTATTGAAGAATTCACAGAATAAAATATAATTCATTTATGGCTGTACGACTAGTGAAAAGGCAACTTATTTTCAGCCACGAAGTTGATTAACGTTACATTTTTATTCGAAGACATTAAAATATAAAGTTTCACGTCAAATACTGACATAAGTTAAAGAACTACTAAAAACCCAAATTCAAGGAACAAATGTTGTGTTCTAGCTTGGGACTCGTCATCACTTCAGACCCACAAAATCACTGGAAATATAAATATCGTCATATATGCTACTTATGTCTATCGACATAAGTAGTATGTAACAGCAATCAGGAGTGAAAAATCTAGCATCAGAAGGCTAAGGAAATCGAATAGAAGAGAATATAAAAGGAAAGAGAAGGGAATGACGACTTGGAGGAATCGTACTTAATGTGAAGGACAAGCGATGACAATTTGTAAATGAAGTATCCATGTATGGTTAACATAATTTACCAAGATATTCAGTAACTTCCTAGTAAACAAGGAATTGATTGTCCTCATTTCACATCCCGTTAATTACAATATGGTCTATTAGACCATTGACAGCATTCATCAAATAACCTGTCTAGCTTTAATCATCTTGTAATATTGTACAAAAATACGTCATAGTATTGGGTGGATAACTGCCTTTCAATTGGTTTGTTTCAATCGCGCTAATCACCGCTTCTCACTAGTCACTAGTGAGGATCAGTAGATGGGATTGTGAAGATTGTTTTAAATGAATCGTGTTTTTTTCTGTGTTAACTTTTAAACACATGAGTACATGGTTTAGTTAAATGTAACGACTCATGTTTTGATGATCAATTATTCTATCAGCTGCTATCCTTTGATTATGTACTTATGATTCGTGACCTCAATAACATTCAACTATTTTCACGAACCCGTACAGAATATCACAAAATGATTGTAGTTAGACACATAAGTCACCAAACACCGGCTCAGTGATCCAAATTTAACCGTTTGCTGCGCAATCTGAAGTTCCTGGTGGGGCTACGGCTACGCACTATGGGAGAGTCACTTACTCGGAGGGAACAGTTTTCTGGTACTTCCTGGATTTCCGTGGTTGTCTAACTTAACTGGGTTCGTGATTCACATGACATGAAAGATTGTTCGACGAGATTATTGGTGTAAACTGTAGAGGAATGGCCTGTTGAAACCAAATATTTGTTCGTGTATGATTAATGATGTCGGATCGCAAAGATAATTTAAAACGTCTTACATTAATGTCTAATTTATTTAAGAGCTGCACAAAATTCATATAGTATAATTCATTAACCAAGTGCATGTTTTTGGCGCTCGTCTTTGGGGCACACGTTTTGTGTAAGATATAGTAATACTACTTCGAAATCGATGTAGATGAAGTGGAGTTCCAGTTGGCTCATAACGAGTACCTTAACAATTAAGCCGCTGTCCAACGTTAATACTTGGACTTACTTTAAGTACGTAAGCTATCTATCCGATAACTATATGGTGAACCTGTATGGGGTAGGATTACTAGATAAGTTCATATATTAAAACGTAAATAGGTCATTAGACGTGAAATATCTATTGATAAATAAACAAATTATTCTCAAGTTTAGCAGCCAGTGTATTTTTCGATCAAATATTTACTGTTTAACCAGGCTGCTGTAAGATTAAAATACCATTCATTAATCGAGGAAATGGTATTGTGATAAGCTAAAAGTAAGTATTAGTGAGAAATCTAAGTGGTTAAATATAACCAATGTAAAATTCTACAGGTTTCACGCATGATTAATTTTAACATGCAAAAATTGCGACAGAAATTGGGTGATACCACATTTGTTGAATAATCTGAGTTGTTTAATGGATGAGCCCTCACAAAAAGGACCGAATCTCCTGGGTCAATTCCCAAGAGGGCCGTGACCTTACACCATTGAGGAGCCCCAAACTGGGACGAAACGGCTGTCCAGAGTTTCCAGATTTCCAATCGTTACTTAAACAAGATAAATCCGAGGGATTTGGAAAGTCTTCGCAAGTTCTTTAAAACTTCTAAACTCATAACTGTTAAAAAATAGTCAAATAAGGCACTATAGAAACAAAAACAACTGTACTGCTTTTCAGGCTTGATACTAGAGACGAAAAACTACTAAATCTATCGATAAGCTAAATATTTGCGCACTTTTCATAATATTTCTTGAAACAATTGTATCTGAGTTGTGTTAACACTTTAGGTTTAAACGGTTTGATTCCGGTTACTGAAAAAGCCTGAATATCAGAAATTCATAATTACCAGAAATATTTATGTTTACGTGTTTATACTCTTAGTGCATATGATAAATACTAGAGGTTGATACGGTCATTGTTGTATAATGTATTTACATTTTGACGTGTTCTATCAAATATTGTTGCGGTATATTATATTCTTCATAATGTAGACTGAACGAATTTTCGAAATACTTATATCTGTAAACCATTGGCGTTACTACAGTCCGTTCATGCTAGAACATAACCTAGATTACGACAGGCGCTAGTGACAATGGTTCACAATGTATCGGGTAAGTAAGTTAACCGTCATATCTTGTGGCACTTTACTAAAAGAGCATTTTCATCTACATTAATAAAAAACTTCATCATACATTGTGAAATTAAAAGATATTAATGTGTATCTGCTACCTCAAAATCTGACGGGAAGCACGGAAGAAAATGGACTGTATGCATGCAACTAGACGATTTCGAAATAGCACATGACCTGACATTAACATCACATACACAACAACAAATCCAGGTCAACACAAACAATGTAGTAGCAGCCTCCGCTTCAGTAGACCGCAACATACACAATGGAAAAAGAACGATTGGAGGCAGACATTAATAGCAACTGGGAACAAGTGGAGGAGATTGTTCAGAACATAGTTGGATGGAGAATACTGGTGAGCGGTCTATGCTCCTCGACGGGGTGTAACGGGTGTAAATAAGTATGTAAGTAAGTAACGTGTATTTGTGGTAGACTTCGCAATTATTAACGTACTTTATTTTAAAAGGAAATATTCACCCAACTGATAGTGTATTAATGATAAAAGTCAAACTGATACACTAAGTATTACTTAGATATGAGACCACAGTTTAATGTTTAAATGAAATTTCAATTAGATAAATGTTTATTCTGATAATATATTTTCTCTCAATTTTAAGTGTTATATTGTTGACTTGTAATTAGTAGTAGAATATATATATTTCCAAACAATAAACAAGAACTTTTTTTGTAAAAAAAAAACTTGTTCAAGTTGTGGCAGTAATAAAATTCTAAATGAGGTTAGTTGTAAGTTTAAATATTATTTCGTTAGTAAAACCTGTGCAAATGTTTTTTTATATATTATGATCAAATCACAAAACCGTTAGACGTAAATATTGTTATCTGAATGGATCAGAATATCTAATCACTAAGAAATTTTATGCAGTAAACCTCATATTTTGCATCTGTTGCACAACGCATGAAATTCACACTTTACCATTGAAATAACTTAAAGTTACTTTTACATCGTTACGTTTGAAAGGAAAGAAAATATTCTGTATGTCTATCAACTTATAATACGCTAGCATTTCACGTACAGTTATAATCAGAATACTAAGTTACAACACCCAGAGTCAATGATCATATTTATTCGTTTTTTCAACCAAAATGATTAATATGGTGGACTTATTGTTTGTGTTGCGAAATAACTATTTGAATATTAAACGTACCATCCGATACTCCGAAAAATTCAAAATGCATAATTAGAGTCTCTGTCGAATATTTGTTTGATGTTTATGCTTTACAGTTGTGCTAGAGTCACTGAAAGGAGAAGTTCCAAAAACTTCATGGAACCTAATGTGTCCTTAAATATTACTGGTTATCCGATCTGAAGGAATCGACCAGGAAGCCATTCTGTTTCACGACTTGTAGTAAACGAAGAAGGCCAATTTATTGTTAAACGCCGAACTACAGTGTCTCAGTGAAAAATGAAAACCATTCACTATCTATTTCATTTGAACATCTTCCATCAGTTGTCCTCTACATGCTTCTCGGCTCCTTCAATTCTGCTTTCATTTCAACTGCTCTCTGGTTTCCTTTATGTACTCTTCAGTTCGAACTTTTCAACCTTCTGCTGCCAGACATTCCACTTCTGATTGATGTTGCATACTACTCATATCTGTCCACATGAGCAGCATGCATCACACTCGTCCCCCCCCTTTAAATGGTTATTCTTGCAGTTGGTTTCCTCTCTATGCTGCCTCCTTTGCCACAGTCCGTTCCACTCTACCAGTCAAAATGTTGAGTTTGCTGAGGTACTGACATCCCTAGCAAAGTTGACCTGTCGGGCCATCTACGCAAGATGTCAGCCTAGTAGCCGGGACGTTCCACTTACGACGTCGGCAGCGACTGCTGTACCTAACGCCTCTCAAGCAGGACATTCCACTCGACGTCCACTCTCTTCACTGGATGCACCAACTAACTGATTCTCTTCTAGCCCCGCAAGAGCGTTCACAGTACTGAATTCTTTCCGCCGAGACACCAAATGTCAGTCTGATATCTCACTACTGACATCCTTGTCTGTGATAATCAGTAACACTAGATTCAATATCGATGGAAACAATAGCTCTCTCAGGATTCCAGACACAATTCCGCTATTTGTTTGATACGATTCAATCAGCATTAATGATTAAACAAACGTGATCTTAGTAATTCTCAATGGTTGGCCGATGTGTTTTGGATTTACAGCAGTCAAAAGTACGAGTAAAAATGAACTATGCAATGATGAGAGGACAGTGGGTTTCGCCATATCATAATTATGGTTATCAGAAGAGATTAATGAGTTTAAAAATATTCATCTTTCCGAAATATAATTTAGTATCAAATGCAATCTGAAATTTCAACAAGACTTTATTTGTTTATATAACCGATGAAAATGTTAAACATTCTTACCTTTTCCGTTCTTATTTCGGGAAAGCGAACAGTTTCCATCACAGAGTGTTTCGATAAACGACTGAAACAATGACCAGCCACCTGATTCATTCCACCCACTTATCAATGGATAATCTTTCGGTCTAAATAATTTTCTGACGTCTTGTAATCCACATGGTCTAGATCTGTCTATCCAATGAAGACAATTCTTGAAAACAAACGGTGGGAAAGGAGTTGAAAGTTATATATAGATTTAAAATCGACAAAATTTTAGAATTCATTATACCAAATACTGAGTAAAAGTTTACATGAAACTTAGTTGCAGGGTAGGGCTCAGTGGTTATAGCGTTTAGCTTTCTGTAAATAAGTTACAGGATTGAAATTCAGTTCATGAACTTCAGTAGAGGAGCTAGTGTGGTACCACTGTAATGCTATTCTTGGGAAGAAACATTCATCTATTGCTGGTAAATTAGTTAATAAAGGGATTGGTTTAGCCGTCTCGGATTTTTTCACTCACTGTGAAATTCTAATCTATACTATTCTTCAATAAAGTGCAAAACCTTACTTCCATAAGGCCGGTTTCCTGTTAAAATCGAATTCCAAGTAAAATATATCTTAGTTTGGCTTTATTTAGTTTAGTAAGATTGACAAAAGTAGTTTTGTTCTTAAACTGATCTAAATTTGAAAGTCATTAAAAGTAAGATGCAGTACTGGATATCTATTGCAGGAATCCACTAACAGTCTAGACACAAATCGACGTTACAATTACACTTTAATATGAATTTTCCACATTTCTTAGTTTTGTACATTCAAATTAGTGATAAAAATGTATTAAATTGACGGCTACAAAGTGAATGACATATTCCTTCATGTGTACCAGCTCTACAGATGAGAATAATAAAGGAAATACTCCTCAGTTTTTTCATTCAATAATTTATTCGCTAGTTTTAGATGTCAGTTAGTTGTAAGTAGTTGACAATAAAGCCTGAACTTATTCAGCACTTGCCAATAACGTGTACATGTAAACTTAAGGGAAATGATGTTGTCTGTTGGATTCGAACTCGCGTTTAAAGCCTGAGATATTATCAGTGATGTGTTTGGCCTTTCACTGACCTCAGGAGGGATTGAGATCCATACAACTGATCATTAGCCGAGTAGTGCCTAGTGTCAGCGTTCATTCACGTAGTGGTCGCAATAATGACGTATAGATAGGATTTGGCTGGCAATAAAAGACTGGAAAAGCGTGATTACGATTAATTGATTAATCGATTACAGATATTCAGCAATTATACATAATTCTTTAATTCAATCGTAAAAATATTATTATCATTATTGTTGTCCATCGTACGGATTAATTTTAACTCATGAGTTCAAGATGTTCTGTTAAATATAAAACTATTGTTCTTCAGATGAATGCACTCTTTGTTATGATGGTTTTACTAAACAAATGTTTTCGCAAGTAAACTAAAACTAACATCCCTCAAAGTGTAAGTCTGATCAAATCAGTACCGTGATAGTACATTCTTTCATGATTGTGATTGTGTGAGAATGTGGGTCTACGTGTGTATGTATTCATGTGATTGTCATGATATTGGTAGGGGACCTATTCAATGACATAAGAATAATTTTAAAAGCAGAACGTCATATTTCTTTGATAAAGTTTGGACCAGATTGCCAGGCGAAACGTTGGATTTACTTCAAATTCATTTGCTGAGATTGTACAAATATATTCTTCCTATAAAAAGTCATATTATTTTTGAATGTTGCTGTTTAATGAACTTGTAGAAGTACAAAGGTTCTTTCTAAATACTGAAAAAGCAATAATAATAACAGTGTGTTTTAATGATTGACGATGGAATGAATTTATTACATTTAATTGATTTGTTAAATCAATTAATTTGTTATGAATTATATCAATTATTATATGCAATCATGTGTTCTATTTTTTTTATGACGATTAGACATTTATTGCACAAACTAAGCAGAATATAATCGAAGAGAAAAAAGAGCTGGTAGAATGTGGTAAATATACTTGATAATCAATTTTTAAACATAAAAAAGTAATTATTCAAAACTCTTTGGACTAACGACAAGTTAATTAACAAAATGGTATTGGCTGGTAGATTAAAAAAGTTCCCAGAATTGTATTGATGTAAAAACTAGATTCTGAGTCGCATATCGACGTGAACATCATATTTCTTGTCCACTGAGGAAAACTTCACAGCTATCAAATGATTTAAAATTAATATTTTTAACATCATCCGCAGTATTAAAAATGTCACCTAGTTTTTTGAAAATAATTGAGATTTCGATTAGAATAAAAGTATATTATTTCTTCTTGCATAGTAATGAAGAAATTTTAAAAGGGACTAGATTCGAACCTAGTACTTTAGGGCTCAAATGTCAATAGTTTATCCACCTAGCTACTCGATCCAGGTAGCTATTAGCTTGTGCAGCAGTGTAAATGTTATTTGCAAGGGTTTAATTTTTCCGTATATTCAGATGATATATATATATTTATTTTTTTTTTCATACAGCAGTAGTCCTATAAATATATTCAATATTGTACAATAAAGGTAAGTAATAAAATGTTTCAGTAAAAATTGTCACTTCTTATAAGAGTCAATATTTTGTAAATAACAATAAAAGTTCTTTTGAAAATTAACAACAGTGGTTACCTGTTCCATGATGCATACTTTCAATAAGTATTTATCAATTAAAATGTTCGGTAATGAGCGTATAATGTTGAAGTTGACAGATTTCATAGAACTGACAGGAGTATAATTTTTTGGTTCAATTTTCTCATACGCTTCATTTAGACGTAACTGATCATAAATAAACGAATCAATTGTATAACGTAGTTTATTCACTCCAAGACCTACACTGTAATTTACCCATCTGAATGTTAATGAAAATAAATGAAATTACTTAAATTACACCATATTTAGTTCACTGATTAATTAGGGTTGAAATTTTGTGTAGATTGTTTCAGCTACAATCAGTCCATCATGAAAAGTATTTTCGAAATTAATGTCATACAAGGGTTGATGAGTAGGTGTTTAATTCAGATGAAAAGCCCTAATTTACATTTTCTAAACAGAATATATATATATATATATATATATATATATATATATATATTCGCAGTCAAAACTTTCAAATGCATTTACCTCACTATACTTTATTTGGTGTAGTATGATGGACATCGATTTCGTTTGTAAGTAGTTCTACTTCAAGACGTCCTTTTAATTATAGTAAGAAGTCATGACTGGTGGAGTTCAGATACTTAGTGAGTGAAACACGTCACTAATGTCACTGGATGAGAGTCGCACTGTATTAAAAACTGATCACAGTTTAAGTTGTATAATTGGAATTTAACTTGGTTATTTTTCACGGCTAAGCATTCATCGCGTGCTATTCAGTTCGTTTGTTCTATACTTAGAGAGGTCGTTGGTGCTCACTGCTGAGAAATTTAATTCTGAGACGGAAATTTCCGGGTATCCATAGGTTCCCCGTTACACTCCAAATCAAAACAATCTGTTCCGAAAGCTATTGACATATTTCACAGCAAATAAGTTGTGTTTTCTAATAGAATTGTTTATTATTTCTCTGTGCTAACAAATTTGTTAAAATTCAAATCTCAAGTATCTACGGTTGAAACATATAATTCTCACTGGCATACCTAAAATGTTTGGCATGTTCTTGTAGTTTTTAATAGTTGACTTCATGAGGCAATTGAGGCTAGACCACCATGGGAAACCTGGAAGCACTGGGCGGCCGTTTCGTTCTAGTATGAGACTCCTCAGCGTTGCTCATCCATGAACCCGCGGGGCGGAAAAATCGAGCCACCGAAAACAATGGCGGGTGGTGGCTCCATTTCGGGGATTAGTTAAAGTTGGACATCAGCAACGTTGGATGTCGCCTCAGTGGTTCAGTGGTTATATGCGCGAGACCGGTAGGTCCTAAGTATGGAACCCGCTAGGCGAGATAGTAAATGGGCACTGCTGAGGAGTCCCACACTATGATGAAACAGCCGTCCAGTGCTTCCAGGTTTTCCATGGTGGTCTAGCTTCAATTGACTCATTAACTCGACCATTATAATTACTATAATATCCACAAAAACCCTTTCTGTATGCTATTTATGTTGACAGACATAAGCAGTATGTAACATCAATCGGAATAGGAGAACATGGCAGCAGAAGTTTATGAAGGTCTACTTGAAGAAAATGGAAACGAAAACGAAAACAGAAGGGAATTGTGACTTGTAATAATCATACAGAGTGTGAAGTACAAACGATGGAATTTTAAAAATGAAGTATTCAATGGACGGTTCTCATATTTCAATATCAATAAAAATTTATCCATATATGTTGTTAATCTGAATCAAAGAACGTAAGATTTGTTCACTTGAAATCACATGTACGCATATGTCAAGATATCTTAAGTTGTGAAATGATATAATAACTGATAAATCACCTAGTATAATCGTCGACTTAATAATTAAATTGATCGAGGAATTCAATCAACACTACATTAGTAGACAATCATCACACTGGTCACTAACTCAATAATTAGTCAATTATCAGTATATCTGTGCTACATGAAGTCAGTCACATCTTGAATGATTCAGTGTTATCGACTGAGACTGTGAAATTGATTTATGCCACTCCAAAAGCTACCTAAGAACTAAAACTTTATTTAGGTCTACACATAGTGATCAACATGGAAATTATATTCAGGAAATTTCTGCTCATTACTTCCAACTATTTGAAAATCATCTGTTGAGGTGGTTGAAAGTTCTAGTTAACATGATTTTACATAAGTTTTATTTTTCAAGCATACGTAAAGAATCTCACTTGGTGAAAATAGTTTGATTTGTACATTCACCTTTTTCGATGTGCAATCGAACACGAGCATATAATGTGCTGTCTGAGACGCTGATATTTAATAAAATCAGTTTTTTCGCACTGACTTTACCTGAAATATGATCAAATTAAAGCACATAAATTATAAATGTTACTAATAATTACGACAGATTTCATTGGCTTCTTGATTATGTGCTACAAGCTATTAGGATTTATATCTATGCACAATTTACTTGTGAAAATAAATCGAGTATGAAATCGGAACACGTTTACGTTCATTATTCAGTATAAATTTAAAAGCTAAAGTGATCACAGTAATTTTTATCTGTTTTCTCTTTGGATTAACTATTATTTGCTATCAGTAGTGTCTTCAGATTTCCTTTAATGCTTGCCGTGTTTTAATCAGTCTTCAGTTTTATCTTTGGCACGATCGTTCATGCTTCAATTTCGATTGTGACATTTTATTTGAATTTTATTACAACACAGTAGTATCAAGACAGTTTGAACAAAAACGATAGATGAGTTGAAAAAAAAGGATGATGAGATAATTTCTAAACTCAATATCTAAGGGAATACCAAGAGTAAATGCGTCTACGTCATTCAGATTGGTTTTAAGCTATATTATCCATTCCACACAACGTACCAAACATTGGCTGACAGTTTAATATGATGGTCGGGCTTGTATATCGGGATGATTCAATCAACCTGCATGGCTATGACATTTGGACCTTTAGGCTCTACGATGCCAGCCAGGTTTGTTGAAAACAACGAGACTAGAAGTAGCAACTAATAGTCCAGAAGCGACTAGGTGACCGCTTTTACAGGTAAGCAAGACCACTCATGCGGTTTCCTTTTCAGACACCTGATGAATAAATGTCTCAGGAATTGATACAGACTTACACACCTCTTCAGAATCAAATCCATTTACCGTAATTTATGTACATCATAGCAGCAAAGGTGAGAAACAGTTCTGTCACTTTGATTGAGATGAAATCACGTTTAGGGGAATTATGTGTTCCAAGAACAAGTTAGAGATCGCTTTAAAATTATCGGTGACAAAAATTTGCCATCATTCAACTATCCCACAAATCATACTTCTTCTTTATGCAATTAATTGATTATTGTGTAGTGACAAATGTCATAATTGTCTAGTTCTTCAGTGCTGATCGAATTCGGTCAAGTTGTTATATGACCAATAATCTACGTTATTTGACAATACGTGTACTGCGGTGAAATGATAGCTGATTTAGGCGCGAATGGCATGAATCCACTATATCATGTCTCGTTAGAGTAAACAATTATCAGGAAAGTATGTCCGAACCATTTCCCTTGTTAATAAGTGTTAATTGGCACTAAACGTACGTTCGGGGTCACTGAAGATCTGATGCAGATGTGAAGACGCGGATCGGCAAAGCAAAAGCAACATATTTACAACTGAAGAACATCTGGAACTCAAAACCACTGTCAACCAACACCAAGATCAGAATTTTCATTACAAATGTCAAGGCAGATCTACTGTATGGAACAGAGACGTGAAAAACTACGAAAGCCATCATCCTGAAGATACAGGTGTTTATTAACAGTTGTCTACGCGAGATACTTCGGATCCGATGGCCAGACACTATCAGCAAAAAGTTACTGTGGGAGATAACGAACCAGATTCCAGAGGAGGAAGAAATCAGGAAGAAGCGCTGGAAGTGGATAGAACGTAAATTGAGGAAATCACCCAACTGCGTCACAAGACAAGCCCTCATACGGAATTCTGAAGGCCAAAGGTGGAGAGGAAGTCCAAAGAACATATTACGCCGAGAAATGTAGACAGACATGAGAAGAGTGACCAAAAGTTGGATAGAACTAGAAACGAAGGCACAGGAGAGAGTGGGTTGGTCGGTGGCTGAGAGTAACAGGCGTAAGTAAAATAAAGTACATTCAAGGTTGTTAAATGATTACTTTCAAACACCAAACATTTTTTTACGTTTTAAATCAACGTAATAAATTTTTAGCTATAACGATAAACATTTCATTTTCAAGCTTTCAATTTTAGTAATGTTTAGTAATCACCTTCATAATCACCATGAGGCTGTCATTAGAAACTACGACTCAAAACGTTTGCCTCACTAAACAGAAAGTCTCTATATGTTTTCATATTCTAGGTAAGTAGTTCATTTTACCTTATCAGTAACTACAATGAAATTTATTTCATCAAAGATTTCTGGACTAAATGTTCGTTAGTTGGTTAGTCACTATTGTGAAGAAGCATCAAAATTAGGTTTGGTCCCAGTCAGTACTCATCACCAAGATCGAATGATTCATGATGTAAAAGTGTTAGAAAGTGATAACCTTTCTCATATATAGGGAACAAAATGGAAAACATGTAAAGTTACTTTCTAAGTGGTCACACAGAACAGATATTTCAATTTCTTCGAAAAGATCCATGATCATATCTTTGTCTTCTGTAAGGTTTGTACAGTTTTCACTATTTTCCATGACCATTTGTGGCTAAAAGGATAATTGTAAAATAAAATTCATGCTATTTGTAAGTTATTTTAAGTATTTGATTGTATATATAACTAAACAGTGAATAAAGAAATGAAACCCATATAATGGCGCAAGGTATATCATCAATTATAAATAAACAAATGTTGGACTCGTTTTTTTAAAGCCACATAAATCGTTCATGTGTAGAAGAAAATCGAACAGATTCGCCGAATGTTGCACTCGTAAAAAGTAATACAGACAATTCTGTACAAGGTTATTATTGAAACGTTCCAGCCCAAATTAGCCTAAACGGTTGTAGTAATAATAAAACTAAATAATTCGAGCAGAAAATATAAAAAATACATTTACTATGCTTTATCTGTCAGGTTTATATATATGCATTAATGTTATAGATTAGAAACATAACATTTCATGTAGTCTAATTGATGTGGATAACTAACAGTTTATGGTTCCTGTGTATATAGATGCTCAAGCTTTAATCCTCATTACACTAGTGAATTAAATTTGGTGATTGTGGTACCACAAAACAAATGTGTTTTATTACTTGCTGGATGGAAGAGATACATTTTAAATCGACTGACGTTTGATTTCGACGCAGGTCGTTAAAGCTACTGTGTTCGGGCGTATGACTCAAAGTTTCTGGGTTGTATCACCTATATAAGTGACGTTTTGAACTGTTGAGGGATCTTGAAACAACTGAAGATTAACTACAACCTATTATCTATTAGCCGTCAGAAATCTGCTATAAGAGGAGGCGTTAGCGGAATGTAAATTGGATTAAAGCACATTACGGGCAGGATTGTGCTGGTGAACATTGGTTGTCTGTTTCTTATTCAATCAGTGCTCATGGATACTTGTAGAAGATTCGAGAATCTTCTCATATATAAACTACAAATACACTAACGTTTTTCCATTGTAATCCATACTTCTATTTACTTTTGTTAGTTGAAACATAATTTCGTTCCTGTTCAACCCTTTTCTGAGTCAATTAATATTCACGATTAGAACAGACAGTTTGGATGTGAGGACAACATGGAACATCTTCGACACGATGGTGTAGGTATGGAGTAGGTTGTCACAATTGCACGGATCAAACTGCAAAAATCGTGGATGAGACGAGGCTCACGAGGCTTCACATCTGATGGGAAGCACGGAAGAAAATGGACTGTATGCATGCAACTAGACGATTTCGAAATAGCACATGACCTGACATTAACATCACAAACACAACAACAAATCCAGGTCAACACAAACAGTGTAGCAGCAGCCTCTACTTCAGTAGACATACACAATGGAAAAAGAAAGATTATCAAATACAAAACGGAGAACACCAACACAATCGTACTAGATGGAGAGACTCTGGAACAGGTGGAAACTTACACGTCACTGAACAGCAACATAGATGGACGAGAAATATCTGATGCAGACGTGTATTTGAAGATTGGTAAAGCAAGGGCAGCATTCTCATAGTTGAAGAAAACATGGAACTCAAAACAACTGTCAACCAATACCGAAGTGAGAATCTTAGATGCGAGTGTCAAGACATTTCCAAGATACGGAGCTGAAACTTGGAGAATTACTACAACCATCACCAAAAGGGTACAAGTATTTATAAACAATTGTATACACAAGACACTTAATGTCCGTCGACCGGATACCATCAACAACAGCCTACTGTGGAACAGCACAAACCAACTCTCAACTGAAGAGGAAAAGATACTGGAAGTGGATAGGACAAATATTAAGGTAATCATCAAACTGCATCACGAGGCATGCACCAACTTGGAGTTCTGAAGGGAAACAGAGAAGAGGAAGGCCAAAGAACACACTTCGTTGAGAATTGGAGGCAGACATGAATAGCAACTGGGAACAAGTGAAGAAGATTGTGCAGAACATAGTTGGATGGAGAATGCTGGTGAGCGGTCTACGCTCCTTGACGGGATGTAACGGGTGTAAATAAGTAAGTAAGCTGCTAAGTAAGTAATTAAAATCTGTATGTATGAGGCATGTGTTAGTTTCAATGTAGGTTCAACTACAAATTGATAACTGCAGATAGTCAGTCAACCGTCGAATGAATTATTCTCAAAATATAGTTATTATCATGGAATGAAAATTTTTTCTTAAATATGATTAAGCAACCGTCTTTCGTTTTTCGATTTTCAGTTCGATAGGAAAAATCGCTTATAGAAATTAGATAAATCTCTACGAAAACACTAATTTTTATGGTATCTTATTCTGTATTGTATAGTTAACCTAGAGATGAGTAAATTGGTGACGCAAATACGCAAAATTAAATATTTTATTTCAAAGTATTGATGTTTAGCATATTTAGTAAGCTGTACTTATATTTCCATAAAAAACAAGGATATCAAATAAAGTGTTCATCATAAAATTTCTCAAACTACCGAAAAAGTCTAGTAATTGTAGTAAATGCAATAAAGTTGACCTTTTTAGCCGATTTTATTCATTGTAAATCTCCAATCGACTGGAATTTAAGATGAAAAGATTTTAAGATGAAAAATGTCATATTTACCTAAGGTTGTTGAGTTTGGTTAAAACTTCCGTTTTATTCATGTATTCAATGCAGAACATCAGGTTGTTCCTAGACTGAAGGATTTCACAAGTGATTCTAACAAATTTATCCTAACAAAGTTATCTTAACTTCTAAATGTAAGTAACTGTATATGCGAGTTTTTTAATTTCATGGATTTCCCAAACGAACGTTTTTGATTGATTCACAAGAAATCGAGTTGACTGTTTGCAATCATCAACCTGACACTTTCAACTTCTAACAACTTAATAATTCTCGTTATTCTTACATGACTGAATAAAACGAATGATGTCCAATACTCTGACTCTGTATCAATCTCAGACGATGACAGTTTACGAAATTTTGACGAAGGTTAATTTTAGCTAACTAACTAAAATGAGGACTTCGTAACAGACACCTTGGGTGATCCACTGACGTAAAATTCATGCGATTTTATTTGAAATTAAAAACTTTATTTATTTTAAGTCGATAAACTAATTAGAATGACTGGTCATACAACAGATGTTTAGTTCTTTGTACAGAAAACAAATGCTGCGAAACTTTGAGCATCTGAGTTCGATCCTCTATGGAGTTGCGGATACACCATTCCAAGAATTCTCATACTAGTATAAAAGAAACATCCATTAAATTCTTCTGGAGATGATGAACTGATCAATGTTAGACGACCATTAAAAATCTGGAAGCACTGAACTGCAGTTTCGTCCTAATATGGAACTGAGAGTTATCATTTACTCACTAGTGACTTGCTTCAAGAAGGGATTATCGGCGATTGCTAGGTTTCAACCGTGTTGGATATGAGACAGTTACTCACGGACAACAAGGGAAGTTGTTCGCGCAATATCATGGGTTGGTTGAAGTAAGACACTAGAAAAGTTGGATGGCGGCTCAGTGATCCAGAGGTCAAGCATTAGGTCTCGGGTTTGATTCGCGCATGCGAGATCGTGGTTGCACACTGCAGAGGAGTCCCATACTGTAATGAAATAGCCATCCAGTGCCTCGGGGTTTCCAGTGGCAGTCTAAAATTGATTGGTTGATGATCTTCATTAAAACTCAATAGTCTTCACAATCCTACACTGAAAATTGTTCTTGATTTTCATTGCTTGTTTAGTCACGAGTCATTTTTATGTAAATAAAAAAATGCAGAGGTCTTCACAAACCTCTTACTCTAATATTTTTAATCACATTGGGTTTAATACAAAATTCATTGGGTGAACTTACAAAAGACAGTGTTGTTGTTTCTTTCGTGAAATCCTGGAGTTGCATAGTTGATTTTTTACTCTACAATAATTTTTTATGATAAAAAATAACTCGACCAGGATTTCACATACCAGTTGTCGACTATAAGATATGTTTAAAAGAATATCTAAATTTATTATTATGAGTAGAGTAAAAATAATCCATTTCATTATCTTTATTTTTCCACAAGTTAACCACATCATTGTTCAATAATCAAAATGTCTATATCATCTTAATTTATTGGTAATAGGTAATGCTATTGATAACCAATCAAAAGAGAGGGAAATTGATACATTATTTCCTGGTAGTTTTAATTGGTCAATCTGCTGCCAAATGAAATGCAGGGCACGTTATAAATAATATTCACTAATGAAAAAAAACAACATAAAGCATTTAATCTCATCTATCCAGTGTTTATTAGTCTTAAGATGACTTATCGTAAAACGAGTTAAAATAACTGTTTTTCACAAGATAACGTTCAGTAAGATTACTGTGTAAAATAGATTACGATTTTGATTAAGTCTACCAACCGATATTAAACTCCATAGTTTTATAAACAACCATTGTTTAGTATTTAGTAGACTAATGTATTTCACAGATATGTGTATTTAATACCTTTGATGATATGGCATTTTCACTTAAGTATACTTTACACAGGCGGGGATTTGTCTACTTAATTGTCAGTATGGAGTTGTAGAGATTGTCGAGTTTCAGTGAAATCATGAACCGATCAAAGTTAGATCACTATTGAAAACCTGGATGTACAGGACGGCCGTTTCGTCGTAGGAAAGGACTCCTATTATAGTCTGATAAATATAAGCTCCCAATTTAAAATCTATGCTAGTTCTATAATCAAACGTTCTTACTTCATGACTTTAAGATTATATTCCGTTCAATTTTTTAATCTCCATAACGCATGCATCCATGAACCTGCAGGCAGGATACGAACCCAGGAACTTCTGCCCTGCTCGTGAAAGCTTAACCTCTAGACCACTGGGCTGGCATTCAAGCATTTTAATGTTCAATTCTAATCCATCCACGACATTTTGTTCTCATCCTCCATTGTTTTCAGTGGTTATTTGTCTTGCACTAGACGGGGATTGGCTAACCCGGTCATGGATTCTTCCTAAGACTAGAAATTCCCTCTCAAAGCTGGTCCTTAGTGACCCCATGATAACTGTGAGTATGAGCGAACAAATCCACTTAGGACAAACTTTTTGATTGTTTCTTCAGATGTACGGTATTTTCCGAACGTCTTCTACACAGTGTTAAACATCTGGACCATTCAACTAAAATTGGTCTGTGAGGAATTGATGTGTTTGTTATGTTTTTCTCCATAGAACATAGGTAACTGTAAATAAACTGATTCCGAGTGTCAAGAACGATAGTATATGATGATACAAGATGACTAAAATGTTTATGATGTTTTTGTAGGGTAGAGTTTTTGGAAATACCGTACATTATAAGATTCTCTCATTATTTTGAAAATTTACTGTCAGTAAGAAACTAGTTATTCATGAAATGATAAAGAAAAATCCATGTGAACGCGAGGTCAAGGTTGTTGCATTACTGAACGTTGTTATGATTTTGACCTAATGGGTAATTTTATTGTTTGTATGCATTCTATAGGAGAGTTTACGCATAATCTCTATTGAAATTAATCCAAACCATGATGAAATAACTTTCAGGCTCTCTTGAACTTCCCTATTCCTTTCAGTGATGTCTTCTTTTATAATAAGCTGTATTAAGCTATTTAAGATGGTCTATTAGAGTCGTATTACCCAGTTTGACACTCATTGGAAAAGGATAAATTTAAGAGAACTACGAGTCGACACAGGATTCAAACCAATCTTATCCTCTAGTAGTACAAACGACCAGTGGTTATGCATCTAACCTAAATTCACTGGTGTTGTATCTTTGATTATCATGAGACTTATTTGCCAATCAGAATACGGCTTAAACAATTTTCGCATTTGGCCGAACCAATGATGTTCGACCGGTATGAGCAGTCTAGCATCCTTATGGGTCTTTTTTCCCACTAGCCCTGTCAGTTGATTCCAGAACACCAACACCAGCTTACACAATATTACGCATTTATTTCAAACATATTTAGTTTATATACCAGCCAAACAGATCACATCACACGATAAAATAGGAAATAACATTTATACATGATCAAGCCAAAATGTGGCTGTGAACGTGGGATACTGTAATCAATAAACTGAGTATAATGTGAGAGTAGTAAATCGTATCATAATAGTCGATAGGTCAAAATAAAACTTATAATAAGAGGAACATAAATATATGTAATTCAGTTGATGAATAGTTGTAAAATAAAAATATATATATTAGTTCATTTATAGTTTTCAGAAGTTGCCCGTAATTTGGTCTTCACTAGGATAATAACAACTGGGATATTTTCGAGTCTTATTTTATTTGCCTAAACAGTGAGATGAGTTGTTTTTTTAAAATCGAAGTAATCAGCACAAAACCGACATCGAAGACTTCTTGTCTTGAGTAATTCCCATAACCCAACTTGCAAATCGTCCATTGTAATATTAAGTCACTTAATCTGCCTGCCAAATTCCAACTTGATTAAGTCCCATCATTCATGAAGTTACTGAATACTACCGAGCGATAAATGATCACCCCCATTCGGGGGGGTGTTAAGGATAAGCTTTCGCTTTGGGTCACATCGACGTGTATTTATAAATTTACTTGCTCATGTGGAGCACGTTATATAGGCCGCACAAAGCGATCGCTTTCCAAACGTATCTCTGATCATATATATATTTAAACTATCTACATACTAGTTAGTTTATTTAAATATTGTTATTTTGATTTCAAGAACAAACTCTATTCATAATATCATTCAATTGTAATAAAATACTGTTGATCGATTGATGACTAGGTATGCATAAGTAAATTCTATGTGAATAAGAACGATCAATGATCATTTATCGCTTATGTGTTGTTATTTGATAACAAAACTCCTTTGTCTCTTTTTCCTAAATTACACTCATAAAAACTTGATTTATATGAGAATTTTTGAGAAAAAAATAGTGAAAAACACACTAAACCATCTGTTGATTGAAAAAACTTTATTCCCATTAAATTCTATTTAGTTTTTATTACTCTTTTAATTAATATGAAATTAAAGTCAGTTTTTATTGTCAAATGGGATAACTGCCATCTTAAAAACTATTTGATCAGATATCGTGAGAAAAATATGTAAATATGGTATTTAAAATGTAATATTTACTGAATTTTGATAATTTATTGATAAGAAATTATAGGATCTATAAAATTTTCTATTTGTATTGTAACTTGATCTGGTTATTCTCTTTATGATGTTTTTTTAGTAGAAATTTGACGAAAGACTTTCTTTGAGTACTCAAAGGTGGGAAACCTAATAACCCGAGTACTGAATCACAAACCATGAGTGGTCTGTACAAAGATTATATCTGGTGCTTGGCAATGACCCTCCCATACAATAGATGGTAGTTTGTAGTGCTGCGATTCGTTAATCGTTTACTTCGATAACCGTTATAATTCTAATCTTAACGGTACGTAAAATCAGAAGACAAAGGATAGCAGCAACTACAGTTTATTGTCGAATAACTCAGGCAATTTATAGTCAGATTTGATAAAGGCACAGCAAAACAAAACAAAGGCTGATAATAATATTTGCGTGCATACATATAAGGGTGAGGAGTATGAGTCATCGAGTGATACTTAAGTAGTCAATAGAGCGTCATGTGCTCTAGTGGTATAACAGCGCAAAGATATATGCAAATTGTTACTATCTAAATGACGATGTCTGTTAAGTAAGTTAATAAAAAGGGCTTAACCAAAATTGACTATAATCGGAATTGATTATAGGATGGTTGCTATAAGTTGAGTGATATTGTGGATCAACTGGCTTTGGACACGTAAACCAGCTGATCTTGAAAAAAAGAAAATGTGTTCATTAGTACTATTTTTGACAACATTCTTGATTCAATTTTACTTCATTTTCTTTGTAATGATGACTTTTGGTGATTCCACAATTTTTCTGAAATGCTAACTGTTACCATTAACAATAACAATTATCTATTAATTACGTTCATCTTACTCGTAAATATCCTCAAATATGATTTACCAATTAATTCAGTTTATTTTAGAGTTCATTTTAATCTTGGCACGATTTCCTTGACATTAAATCGATTTATATGATTGTCTTTTAAGGGCATGTTCAATGCCCAATAAAAATGATTCAATCAATTCTCCTTCTAAACAGTTTTCCGCATTTTAAGAAAAACGATTTATTGATTTATTTAAATAAATCATTTAAAATGACAGTAAAATGGCGTAACAATTCTCTGTACTCCATTATAAACTATGAAAAGTACTCAGTAGGTGCATTAGCAGTTATGAATAGTTCAATGTCTAATTTTATAAGACTTAGTTTATATGACGACATTGAAAATTATCTACCTATGCCATATCGCCTTGATGAACGAACTAATTTCAGTGAAAGATATCCAAAACAACGTGATGGAATCGTTACAAAAGGATATTCTGAGAGCTTAAAACAAGTGAGTTGATTAATCGTAGCAAATTATTTCTATGTATTTTGAAAAAATCTGAAGGAGATTTCGCCCCCAACTTATATTATAGGGAGAAACACTAAAATATGTCTCACTGGATAGTTGTCTCAGTTTTGTTTAGGACTACTTTGCACTTTACGCTCAAGACACCATACTTGATTGAACAACAAGCCTTCACACATCTTGATCTTAAAACAAGAGTTAGTATCTTAATCTATACTTTTCTTGATTAGTCAATACACAATATTTTGTGACTAGATTTCAGTACTATATGTGATGCCTGTTTCACTTTCTATATACATAAACTCCAACAATTAATATACGTTTCCAAATTATAATATGAACTAAATTTCCTCACTACAAAACATCTTTTACATTTCTGTCCTTGACTATTGTGTGAGAGATGTGCAACTGTTTCTACATTATCAGATTACATAGTTGTTCATTAAATATTCCTTACTTAAACAAAGTCAATGTAATATGCATTTACCTATCTGAAACAACCGGCTAGTATTTTACATATAAGTGTCAAGCTATCAGTATACTTTTCATTAAATACATGTCATATCATATAAATTAGGTTCACAATGAAGTATTTAACACTTCTTTTGAATTCGAGACATTATATTACTCGGTTTTTGTTAATATAGAGTTAACTACTGAGGTAAATCGTATTAATATATTTCAGGTTGTTCAGAGTCTTCTTTTGTTCAACCACAACCACAACGGCTACTCACACTATTATAAATATTAACTGCAAAGTGAATAAAACCTTAATATTTTAAACCATACAGTTTAAAGCGTTGGACACAATTGTTTTCCATGGTTACTTGAGTTAAAAAACATGAGGCATGAGGCATTGAATAGAGTGATATAAGTTTCCTTAAGGTTTTACAATATTTTTGTGACAGGTGAAAACAAGTATAACGACCTTAAAATCGTTATCATCTACTCATTAAATGGATTATATGCTTAAATAAATCTACTTAAATAGTTGTTGTCCGATTAAACCACATGACCAAACGTACTTGTCATTTAGGATTATATATGCTCTAAATGATCATTGTCAGACCAACTCGAATAATACAACACTTGACTCTTATAAAACCCAGTTTCTTTAACATGTTTCAGGCAGTCAGGCATCCCCACTAGCCTTTAAGCAAAGTCGTATGGTTTGAAACTGGGTACAAAAATTTACATATCGTCACTGAAATGTATGTATGCTTTGATACGTATACTATCAATTTATGAGTTTATGAGCAAATGTTTGTGTAAAATGTTATTTGAATATTTTCATAAAATAAGTATCGTCATTGAGAAGTGATAAAGTTTCGACATTTTATGAAGTGATTGGAGTCAAACTGTTGGTTATTGAAAGCCAACTTATTGTTTAAAATGTAAAGTGCAAGGCGAAGTTGTTGACGCTCTCTCATTTGATTTTCGAGATCATTGTGTGTGCATACTCTTAATTAGTCCTATACTAAGACAAAATATCCGACAACAGTTTCCCAATTTTCCAAAATTCCATAACTGATATCAATTAATGGAGAACCACTTATGGCCAAAACGATCTCAGCTGAAAAAATCAATTAGTTACATTATGGTTACTTATTTAACGAAATTTTATTCAAGATAATCAGTACTCCGAGAGAAATGAGAAGATACGTTCGACCGCCGTCAATCAACAGGAATGAAACACATTCACGATCAATTGTTCGCAAAACAAAACCGGTGAAACAAACAATACATGAGGAAGGGAATGAAACATATCTTATGATGCATAAATCATGTAGACACTTGGAAATCGTGAAATCATCCAATGAAACGTAAGTAATAATAACATTTCTGTAAAAGCGTTATGTGAATTTTTAATTCCAACTTCTGTTCGTGTAAAAGACGAGTTCAGAATAAGCTACATGATATAATATATTTATCAGATGTTTTGCGTATTATGACAGTGTTGGTAAACTTAGCCAGTAATATTTACCCTGGTGACCCGGTTTAGCGTAAAATCTAGAAACAAATGCTAGAATTATGTAGCTGTTCTTGAAATCAATGTAGACATCGAGAATCTATAACAGTCGTATTGTAATCAGGCAGGAAGTGAACCATCAAAACAAATCCGAAAAATTGTGTATCTTTGCGAATTTAATTAGGCATAAAACTACAACAATTACTAAAATTTCAAAAGTAGAATATTTCCGTGGAAGGTTGAAATATCAACGACTAATGTTTGTATACCACGTTTCGATCAAAAGTTCCAAAGAATGAAACACTTGAAGAAAAGATCGGGTAATCAGAAGGAAATAATGGTGCTGCAAGGCGAAGGGTAAGATGAAACTTCAGTATATGAGGTTAACCACTACGCTGTAACTATTGGTGGCATATGCAGGCCTTATTTATGTCCAATAGAGCCCAAACTACTAACTAATCACAAGTAGTATAGCGCTGTATCATATAAAGAATAGGTTCGGGATAGATGAAGCTGCGGATTAATGGATAAATTGTCATGTTTGTTCAATGTCACGAATCCTATTAATATTTTGTCAATCTACCTTTCAAAACGAAAGAAGATATTAACTATTTGGCGATATGTTTCCGTGAAATAACACTATATATTTTCTGGGTCTAATCGTAGATAGGCTCTGTCATGTTTATTGTTACTAATAACGATTTAACCCTAACACTAAAACTAGATATTGCGTGACGAGCTCTCAACTGATGAGCTTCATATTTGAGGCCCTTCTAGGTTGCTTTTTTGTTCCAAATAATCCGTGTTATTGTTAGTTGAGACAAGTACTCTGTACATAGAATTTAAATCCATTCAAAATTTAAGAAATTATTTTATTGATTAAGTTGTTGAGTTGACGACTGTGATTCCACTTCAGAAAGCAAGAAAAGCACCGTTTTTCCAGTAAGTATAGATTTAACATAAATTCATCATTAGTCAGAAAGTTAAACACTTCTTGAATGTCCCACTATGAGGGTGACACGATACATAGGATTTGATGAGATTTCCTTGCCTTAAGGAGTTTTCTAAAAATGAATACATTTCTTGCGAACTGTGTTACAAATACGTAGTGTAAATTTAATAAGCATTGAATTCTGTTATAAAAATACTAGTTACAATGATATTCAGGTCAACCCACTGCAGTTGATGTGTATGAGCTGAAATCACAGTCAAAGGTATAGCAAAATATAAATCCTAAAAAATTTTCCTTTCACTGTTCAGAACATTAAGAAGATACTTCTTTAATTGAGGAACAAGCGCTTGGGTTGGTAACTGCTTTGTAGCTTGATCGATAAAATTCAGTCAGTAACTAACGATACCAAAAAATAAACATGATATCAACAATATTCAGTTGTCAGTTAGTTGTAAATTCAATTGAAGTACTTGTTTATTTACATAGACTTTCTCTTGTGTGACGTATAAATTGTATCTTTCTCCCTAAGCCGGTGGCTGTCTGGATATTTGCAATGACATGAAAATTCGTGAAGGTTGAGCAACTTTTCGTAGCAATTTTATATTTATGGGTACTGATAATTAAACAAATATCTCTATACGTTAGACCTTGAGTGTCATAGGGTTCCTTCATTCTGGTAGTTATATTCTATTTATCAAAGTCGTGTTCTTACTTCAATATTTAATGAGGACTCTTCTATCTAGACATATAACTGTGCTTCTTTCTATTGTTGGTTGGTGCTTGTTAGCAGCTAGCATCACAATTTGATTCCTGAATGTCTTGTCCAAAAGTGTGACTAGTTACCAACCATATCAGATTTTAGCCAGTTAACCACCTTTTGTAAAGGGAAACGATAGTCCTGTATCACTAACTGTCTGAAGTCAGAAATGCATATCAGTGGACGCCATTTCAGTTATTTGATAGTTAGGCGTTTACGCGAGAGATTGAAGTGTCTGGGCTCACCCCCTGTGTTAGGGTTAAGTGTGTGCACAGCTTGGGAGTCCCAAACTAATAGAGGTAGGTGGTCAGTGCCTAATAGTTTCAAACAGTGATATCACCAAGTTCGGCTTATGATTTGAAAACTTTAAAACACTGTGAGTTTGAATAATTTAGATTCCTTGGCTTCGTTTCTAACCGTATTAAATATTACTAGAGAAGGAATTGTAGAAATTGTAGAAGTTTTATAGTTTTATGGTCAAATCATAAACTGATCTTAGCTAGAGATCTAATAATGGCCTCAATGCACTGGACACCCCGTTTATTCTTGTAGGGGACTCATCAGTTGTCCACATTAATAACCCTGAACTCGGGAAACGAACCTATGACATTTGGTTTCACGCGTGAACGCTTAAACTTTAGTAAGTAACCCTACATGAAAAAGTTATCAGTAATTAAATAAATGGAAAACAAAACAATCTAGGGAGGATGATAATCTCATTTACATGAATTCAATTAGTGCATGATTTATAAACTAAATTTTTCTTCTATGAGAAAAAACAAATTTTTTTATTAAGTTACTTAAGTCCAAAAATACATAGATTATCATTTTGTTATGTCATTTAAATAAATAAATAAACAATTATTTTGATTTTATTTCTATTGTTATATGTGGTTTCTTTTATTGTTTTGTAAAATGAACCAAATGGGAAATTTGCTTGTACAAAATTAACGTTTTCTCATTCTTAATCATGAGGATCCAGCACAAAAATAATCTGGGCCTAATATATGATTTATCTAAATTACTTGATCATTTGAAGTATTCGTAAAAATTATTAATAATGTCATTTCCCTTACTGTTTTATGTTGGTATCTATTTAATTTAGTATAGTGTTACAGTTGAGATATTTTCATAAGTACCTATAATGTAATTTATTTACATAATACTAATTACATATATATTGTACAATAGTTGTAAGTTTAACTTTTCTCAGCCCATTTCCACCAAGTTAGATTTAATTATTCTGTTAATTAATCATTGCTTATTATTATTTATAGCTAACATTTAACAGTGATACTGGCTGATTTAAATTTGTCTTTATATTTTAATTTGTATTATGAGACAATAATAGTATGTAGATTGTTTGTTTCTAATGTTGACTTTGGAAATATGTTTTATTTTAAGATACTAAGAACATATTATTGTAGATGAATTAAGCATGAAATGTCTTAGGTTAAATGATATTTAATTTAGACCTTACTTATATCAAGTAACTATAATCTGTCGGTATGTTTTTTTATAGTAGCATGAATTATAGATGCAATAACACCAACAATGTTAAGTGTGTTAAGGAGTTTATTGCTTCACTGTTCACTAATATCAAGTGAACTGTTGCTAACTGTACAAAGCTTAGATTTTTAAATAGTGAATTGTTTGAAAGCATACTTTCACTCTGGTACTAATCGCTTTTTTTTCATATAGAAAGATGGCCATTAAAATATTTTTTATCAGGAATCTAACATTATGATTTTGGAAAAAAATATTTGAATATACAGATTATAGTGAAAGTTAAAATTTACACTGTTAACTGACTATATATAAATTTGTTGAATTGTATCACGGTGAATGTCAGAATATTATGTGTGTTGCAATCATTGTTAGTCAAAATAGATATCAGTCTCACCAGTTCATCTCTTGTGCAAGTTTGTTGAATTTCTACTGTTACGATTCGGCAAACATTCGCAAAATGAAATGCTTATATATCGACTCGTTGTTTAAAGTTCAAACAACGGTTATAAACAAATCAACTAAATATTCGAAGCATATTGCATTAAAAAAATATTACTTTTATGTGCCTTTCATATGAGGAGGCTATTTTTATAACCTTCAACAATATATAGCTAAATGATCAATAGTTTACTCACTCATTCGTTCCTAGAGAGTCAGGCACATCATATATGCTGCATATAATGCTAGTTAATGAAATCTCAAGAAACTTTGATTGAATTAATTTATACACTGAGTAATTGTTCATTTGATCTAAAGATTCACTTTCCTTTACATTGTTTGCTTAACCAACAACTCACAATTCAATTATGTAAGCGAAATTATTTCACACAATTAGTGGGCCCCGATTTCAAAATTTCTCATTTGAAAAACAGGAGATCAGATAAGTGTTCATAAATACCGACGTTTTCTCAGTTTCTTTTCCATGACATGTGGTCATAGGAACAAAAAATCAAACCACATCATACCCCAATTTATCGCTTTAATTATATAATTAACTGAGACAGTTTTGCTATAAAATCAACTAACCAATGAACAGCTAACTAATTATAAGCTTTTAATCGATTGAAAGTTGTATACTTTGATATTTGAGCAGACTACATCAATAAATAATAAATGGTTTCTTCAACATCTAATTTTTTTCACAGTCTTATACATCATTATAACTGATAAGTCTTCTAATTGAACGCTAGATTCGGTTCCCTAAACTCTTCTAGTAACCTCCTGCTAAAACTGCACAGCGACATATACACGAGAGAAAAAGCGTAAAATATGGAAGAAACGCTTTACTCGAAATGTTCGTTTATGTACAGAAAATTCAGGGTATTCATATTATTTAAGATAGCCTTGGGTTTCCGGAAATTTCTGGAACGCTACTAAACATAGTAGCACCATAGGTAAGCATCCAATCGGAAACGCGGCGTGCGCGTTTTAGCTTTATATATGTTTCTGGCAAAACTTCTACTGAATGCTGATTCGATAAGATATTTTTCAGCGTATTCAGAGCCTTTCTTGCCCTTTTTTGAGTTTTCTGGATCTCTCTAACAATAACCGTGAGAATGGAGTCACCAGATTAATTTTGCGCTAAATACGTATTTTCTTAGCCAATAATAACTTCAGAAATATTTAGTTTTCGTTAAACAAGTAATGTTTATGAAATTAAAAAATGTTAATACACTGTAATCAATCTGTGCAAATAACTAATCCATAACTGATCAGCTAACATTTTTTAACTATTTCCATATACACAGAACACAAAATCCTTTTTCACTCCGACAAGTTAAATCAGTGAGTACAGATACATTAGACATGAATATGGAAGAATATTTAAAAATGAAAGATTTAAAGAAGGAGAATATTATTTTAGAGCAACAGAAAGAAGTAAGTTTCTTCCGGATTAATTTTTTTTAAGTGAATATACTTGGTTGATGATCCTTGTGAATGACAAATACAACCTGAAGATTGTAATAAAATATAAGAATAGAGTTCTTGTGGAAAGCAGCGTAACATGAATTCAGTTCATTTGGTTTGCTTCTCGTCAGTTGTTCACAACCCGCAAGCACAATCAACAGGAATCTTAACACTGCATTATATAAAACTTACTCGGCAGACAAACTATCAATTCTGATTGAAACAACGTGTTCAACATTACAATCGAAGGTCGACAAGCACTCATTTCATGTTACCGCCAACTGTGTTTATAAATTTACGTGTACCTGCCAAAGCAGCTACACTGGCCAAACAGAAAGGAAGGCATATCTTGAAATTTTTTAGCATGCTCCAAAAAGCTTTAGAACGAGAGAAAGAACGACTCTAAATCATGCAATGACCAGAAATCTCTTGGTTACAGGACATCAGGTGGATACCTTACAATCTTTTAAGGTGATTAATGAACACTCAAACTCCAGTCTTCTGAAGTTTGCTGAAGCCGTTGCTATTTGGCGTCGAAAACCTGATTCATGTGTTCAAAAGGAGATGGTTATTATTCTTTCTTCGCCTTTGTGACAAATATTCCTTCATTGTACTTTTGTTTCGATTGTCTTCCAGATTAATAATTTTATATTATTAACTGAGCTTCACTCATTTTATTCTCATTAGCATTTACTCGTTGTGTGAACACTTGTTTCTGGCTGTTTGAACTCTCGTCACAACAAATATTCTTTTACATAAGGTATATATTTACAATATTTAGTTTATTGAATCAATTTACACCCTTGCTATTCTGTACTTACGTGTCTTCACTATAACTTCCAAGTAAACTCTTTCATGTAAGTTATTTAAACTTATTTTGTAATTATGCTTTTAAATATCACAGGTTTTAAGCAGCTGACGGGAATCAAACCAAATAAATTGAATTCATACTATTCTTTTGGAATCTTTGTTCTTCCTCATTTCATAATCAACGTTAGACCATTGTGTAAACGTAAGATGGTTTGAATTGTCATAAATAATAAATTATTTACTCCAAGCACTTCTCACTATGATTTCAATAGTTCTTAAACTGGTATCCAGTGAGAAAATTGTAAATCGACTGAAGTTAGAGATGTTTATAGTTGGATTTTGGCTCAATGGTCTGTAGATTAAATGTTCGAGCGAGAGATCAAATGTCTTGAGTTTGATTTTTGAGTGGGTGGCAGTAAACAAGCATAGATGAGGAAACTCATAAGTGATTGAATCACCTATTCACTGCTACTGTTGGTTAAGCTAAGAACAGCTCGTGATTTGACCTTTGAAAGTATGATATAAGTTTATAGCATTGCACGCAGATAAATTTTAGAAAATGTCGACTGCTTGAATATGTGTTTTTATAGATTTTTAGATACTATTGATCACTGAAAAATCAAAGCTAGTGTATTTTGAAGTAATGAATACAACTATTATGCTTTCGTCAGATACTCTTCGACAGGATTGAAAAAGGATCAAATAAATAACTGAAGAAATCTATTCATTTATGATTTACTAGTGTAAAAATAATTATAAGGAGTAGAACAGTTATCAATAATACACTGCTAGATACTACTTCTTGTGAATATAACAATACTTTCTTGATTACAGGTAAACCTACAATAACTTTATAACCAGTAGTACACATGAATCTTATGCACAGAAAAGCATCCATTAAGTCATTCACCAGAAACTAAATTCAAGACGTAATTTCCGGAGTTCAAGTGAAGTGATCCATGGTGATCAGCCGTGTCGTGTAACAGGGAGTTATCCGCCTATCGCACTTCCACAAAAACGTAGTACACAATACATGCGAAACAACTCATCAGAAAGATATTTTCAAAATAATAATTAGTCGTTATTTGAAATACTCCTTGAAGTTATATATATATATATATATATATATATATATATATATATATTCGAACGGTTATCTTTTCTTTCATTAATTCAATTATTAAATGTCATTCAAAATATTTTCTCTAGCCATTTTACTCATTTACAATAATGTAGATTGCTCAAGTACAAACACTGGTATTTTATCTAAGTGAACAGTTGATGCTCAATAAGTTTAATGAAAACATCACTTCAACGGAAGGTGAATCTTCACCAGACGACCTATTTCATCATCATTATAACTATAACAACCAACCTCAACGACGAAGACAAGGAAAATTTTCAGTTCAACAACGAACTAAGTCAGATGATACTGAAAATCAGAAAGATACTCAGTCACAGATTAATAATAACCTTAAATTATTCACTGACAAAGTAATTAAACATTGTTTATGAACAGGAAGTTGAAAATTATTCATTTTTATAAATCATAGCATAATTTCAGTTATTAGATTCATTATTTCAAATAGTTTGTTAGCAAATGTATTGGATGGAGTAACTGAAGAAATGTAAACCATCGTTTATCATTCCAGTGGACCAGAGATTAAGTTATCAACGATATTCATGAACGTCATACGTCCTATCTCAGATGTGATTGTGAGTACTGTCAAAGAGTCTCACCTATGTTGGTGTTTACTGGTTTTCCATAGTTATTTAACTTAGATAATTTAGTGGTTTAAACTGTAAAATACATTCAGAAATCACAACTATTCAAATGTTAAAGCATTTTGAATGTAGACAGAGATGGATGGTAGGTAGTAGTGGAATCCAGGATGTACTATTCGAACAATTTGACGCTCGCCAGATGGATGTATCTGAATCTTGAAGTTGACGTTCACTCCAAATCCACTCGAGTCCAGTGTCGTTCGCTCAAACTACCATCAAATATCAGCTTATCTGCTGTTTTAGTTCATATAACTATTAGCTTGTGTACCTGGGTAAGTTTTAATTTATATATATTGATCAAGGATTCACACAGGATACAAGAAATTTAGGCAAATAGTTTAGGTAGTGTGAAGATAACGATCCTCTTTTCAAAGTCCAATAAAATGGAAATATCCATCTCTAAGTATTTTTTCTTTCACTTAATAGGTGTTTTCTGTATATAGGAGTTCCATTTCCATGGAGGATTTTTTTCAGTCATCTAAAGTCATTCACATGTCTATGATGGATATGTCGCTGTAGCGCATTCCAATTTGTCTGATAAAGTGAAAGTTAGTGGTTGATGTGAAATCGTTAGTGAAAATTATGCCGTTACATGAAGCATACATTCATTAAATTAACGGAAAAATGCACGAAAATCCTTGATACTCTATAAAGATTGAACACTGAAAAAATCACGAACGCGTACCTTACCCAATTACGCATCATTCATTAGTATTTAAAGAAGTATTCAAATGCCGTAAGAGATAAAACTAATAAAATTTAATGCTAATTCATTTTCCGAGTTTGTTTTTTATTCTGCTGTATATTTACTGATGATAACCTGTTAAAACTGTATGACCTTATCAATTTGGAAAATGGCTGTTTTGAAAATGAGCCCCGGATACTTGTCGATATAGTTTACATCAATCAATTGCAGATAAATTAATAAATAATTTGTTAATTCATCATTCGTCATGTAATGAACATAGGGTATTTATTAAACCATACTGTAACATAATTTTAGTTCAAGTATTGTGTTAGTTTAAACACATGTGCTCCTTTAAAAGAATTGTTATTTCCTAGATAACCGGACACTTCCACTCCGATATCGTTTTTGATATTATTGAATAAAATAAGAAATCTTTAATTCATACTTAACTCTGTTACACTAACCAACTATATGATAAGGTCACTAACCATTCAAATTGAAAGGACTGTGTATGTCCATGTGAACTTTATTTTTACTGATATGATAATCGAAAACCTAATAAAAACTTGGTTTTTTTCACACTTTGAACACTTCAATTATTGATCTTGTCGCTGCCTCAAAACCATCCTAACTTTATAGTTATTATATACACATAACCTATCATGTAAGACACAAATAAAATTGGATCAAAAGATGGTCTGTTTTAAATGTATATTTGTCCACAAATGAGTGATCGTTTGCATATCCGTTATATATCTTTATACTTTCTATTATCACTTGTCAACACAGTCAATCAATAATATATTACTCCACTAAACATTTACGGGGGTATTGTAAGCACGCTCTAAATATCGTCCCCCTGTGTGTCTGGTCTGACCATTACCATATGCTCTATTGAGTTATCTCACTACTAATAAGGTCGGTACCATCCCGATTTGTATTAAGCTTCTAGACTTATCGAACGAGGAAAGTTAGTTGCAAAAATTCGTGGATTGTTTGAAGTCAGATAATAAAACCATTGGATGTCAGCCCAGTGGTCTGGAGGCTAAGCATGCGCGCCCGAAACCAGAGGTCCTGGAATGTAATCCCGCATTCCGGATAATGGATGCGAACTGCTGAAGGGTTCTGTACCACGGTGAAATTGTCATCCTGTTGTTCTTGGTTTTTAATGGTGGTTCATGATATCACTTAAAACTCAACTACCTCTACAATTCCATACTGTTATTTGTGAATAATATGAATTGGTTACCATATTTACTTACTGAAGGACACATCACCAATTATTTTATTACAAATTAATTTTATCATTGGATAACGTGTCTTTTAAATAATGAAAAAAAAATTGAAAATTTATTGTCTAATAATTTTTGGACAGTTGAAAAAAAAGAGAAAATTGTTTGCCAAAGAAAATTAAATTTATCACTTTATTTACAGATATTTCGCATTAGCTTAGGACAGATATTAGATTTAAGAAATTTCACATAGTACAGTGAATCATTAGAAAGAGATAAGGAAAATGGACATCATATTTCAGAGTGTTGGAAAGGATCAGTGAATAATTTGATGAAGAATCTGCAAAATGATATTACTAGTAATAGAAATATTTTAACGGGATGGGAAAAATGAATTTAATTGACGATATTCAACTGATCATTGACAAAAAGTTTGTTTCGTGATAGTCATCGTCACGTTTCAAGGAGTTTAACCTCCCTTTTGATCTGTGAATATAGATTAAGTTTAAAAAGTTAAACATTATTCATCTCTGTAAAGCGCAAAAAGTAAATCAATGTTCATCGTATGTTTATTATTTTAAAAGCCACCAAGGTATTGTATCTTTTATCTTCTCTATCAATCCCTTCCGCTTACTTATCTTCATAGAAAAATCTAGAGAAAAGATATGCTGATATTACTGAAAACTTGAGTTGCTTTGAAGCTTTAGAAATGTATTGATACATTTAAGACATCTGTTTTTATTAACAATAAAATATACTGTAATGAGGCTTTGCAGAACACAGTTATAATCTGTAACATAATAATGACATCATGGTGAATTCTAGAGTTTTGTTGATTCATCGGGAGCATGATATTTCGGTAGTAACATCTTAACCTGTTAAGCTCCGTGACATGGGTCGAATTCTCCAGGGAGCCTCAGTGTCCTTCAGATAGCGGGTAGGGATTGCTAACGAGCGGTAAACAACACAAAACTTAGGCCAAGCAGGGTTTCCCATCGACTACTTCGACTCGCTCCGTTAGACAAATACTGTTTATTATCCATCTTCTGAATAACTCTGATAGTCATATTTCAAATAAGCTCTACGACATAATTTGATTGTTTTGTAAACTATTACTGAAGTTTTAATTGCATAATTAAAATAATTCAATAAATAATAACATGATGAAATTGGTTTGGAAATTTCAAAAGTAGTTCACTTTGTACATTAATTAAAATTGGAAAATGATGAGAACTGTTTTTTATTTTAAGTATACAGAAACTAGTGAATCACTCTCAATAAATACAATAGCATCAGTGCTAAATTCACAAGATAAATATGGTCCAAGAAATCTTGAAGCAACTTTAGTTACACTGGATAATACATGGTTAATATCATGGGATAAACCAGAGTTAATAAGTTCTGAGGAGACAATACTTCCTACTATTACTGGATATGTTGTAAGTGTTTATAAAGGACATTTTTATGGTCATGAAATAATAAAAATACCAATGATATTATTGAATAATCAGTAACAAATTACTACAGATGTATATGGTTTACGTTAGTTCAGTTCGAGGCGACATAGCTCAGTGGTCACTTGAAATTCAGGGAACGCATTGGTTACAGGTGAATACGTTTTACTCGCTCTCGAACGCTTAACCTCCAGACAATTGAGATGGCATCTAACGGTGTTGATGTTTAACTTGAACCAATTTACGATGATTTTCACTCTTAATTAATTTCTTGTGGTAGGCCACTGTCTCATACTCGACATGGATTGATCTCCACTGGTCACGTTTTCTCACCGGAACTTCAGGAGTTACAGTATGAAGCTAGTTACCGATGATGACATGATTATTGTTAATTTAAGGTATTTGTGAAGATTGCAAATTTTTCATCGTTTAATTCACAAACTGTTGGATTCCATCTCACTATTCTAGAGGTTTGGCGTTTGCGCGCGAGACTGGAGGTCTTAGATTCGATTCTCAGGTATGGAGTCGTTGATGTGCCCTGCTGAGTTTCATACTAGAAAAATTCTTCGGTCTGATATTTCAAGCCTTTCAACGATAATATAGCTAAAATCAGTTCGTAATTTAAATTGTGGAAATGCTCTACAAATACCCTACATAAGGAATACGTTTGTGTTTCTTATTTGAAGGATTAATGAACGAAATTTCGTTTTCATTGAGAGATTATTGATAAAAATCAACACGTTTATTTATATCTATTACTCATTTACTAGCTAATATGTTTTGAATATCACTTTCTGATGATTTTCAGTTATGCAAATCGACAACGCGTTTTAGCTTCAGTAGAAAAACTAACAATTGCATGTAAATGTTCTGATTTTTAGTGATTTTTCATCGTAGGATTTTTGATTGTTCTTCTTTTTACCATAGTTGTCAATTAATGGGATTGAAATAAAGCGTATATCAAGTGTAAATGTTACCAAATCAATTATTCATCTGCCAGAATCGGTCAAATATCCAGTGATATTAAAAATTCAATCGACAGATGATAATAACTGTTTATCTGCACCGGCCTTAATAACATTGAATGTTTAGCGTTTTGCTTAATTTTTAAAAATAGTTGATTTAATTGTTCGAATTTGTTTGGTAATGACTTATCAGAGTGTTGTATGTATTTCCATCAAACGTCAACGTGAATGAAAAAAATTATAAATTTGAAATTAATTGGGTATGAGAATCACTTTAAGTGTGAGGGTTAATAAAACTCTTCGTCTGGTCAAACACAAGTATGGAGAGAAGAAATCGAAGATGAGACAAAGTGTTTGGAAGTCCAATGCTTTGAACACTAAGGCATTATTCCAACAACAAAATAAATGAATTAGATGGTAAATAATGACTTCTTACTAAAAGCGAAGTAATGCAAACCGTTAACTAAACGAGTAATAAGATGTAAGACAAGCGACTTTCAAAATATTTAATGAAAATAAATAGATATTGCTGCAAACAATTTTAAATATACTTGTTGATCAGTACAAACAGTGTAAACATGTGACGTCTGAGGAGATTGTTCTATTTGTAGTTTATACAGTGTCTCAATTTCAGATAAATAAATATAAAGTGCTATGAAGTAATGAACAGATGTTTCAACTCAGTATAAGGGACTTAATTAATGCTCATACACGACAACGCTAAACACTGAACAAAGTGCCTTCACTTGCGATTCAGAACACTAAGTTGACATCCAGTGATTTACGTTAACACTTTCACCTGGTTTATAATATTGGATGATATTTGTCTCATGGATGACAAAGCTGAACTCCACTAGTCGGAGCTTCCTCTAAGAATTCCTAGAGTTTCTATTTGAAGTTAACTACAGTCATAGAATAGCTCAAATTCCTAATAACTGCAACCTTTTGCTAAAATAATCATGATCTATTATATCAGTTGTCTCCGATACGTCTAGACTGCACCCTGAGTCCTATGAAGAATGAACAGATTAGGATGAAAAATAGCTAATATTTGGCTTCTGTACTAAGCTCGGTATTCTTAATTTACTGTAAGCTAAAAAAACATTGCTTGGTTTTCACTGGAAAACTGAAAAATGACGGATGATATTTTTGAAGTTTTCTTTCACCATCATTGATTTAATTTGAATAGAAACTATGGTTAGTTGACAGCAAATGATTTTACTGGATGAATTCAGGCTCCAGTCGGTGAGAAATTTATAGTATTAAATAAATTATATATTTGTAATATCCCAATAAGTAGAAAAATTATAGTATTGGTTACTATAACGCAATATGTACCGGTAGGATTTGACTATCCCTTAAAACGGTGTTGAAAATCACAGACTGAGTGATATACATTTTGGATTTTTACCTAAAAGCATTATTCACTGACATAGCTGGATGACGACACTTTGAAAAACCTTCCAAATGGCTTGAATTATAATATCCTGAAATAGAATCTGTCTATTTTTGCTGTTTAAAGCAAACATTTTTAAAAAAACGTCTCAAAATATTTTCTATATTAAAGACTTTCTATCTACCCACTATAAACACTTAGCAGGATTTTAATTAAGGAAAACACTTTTCATGTGAAGCCAGTTATCTATAACATAAATCATGTTTTAAATATCAGACTAATCAACTGTAAATAACAACAAAATTTATTTCTTGTTTTCCAAATAACCAAATAAACTTTTGGTATTCCACTTATCTCTATCTATATTTAATTCCTTTACTCCCATTTCATTTATAGTTAAATACTTATTTGTATATATATATATATGAACATTTAAAAAAAGATTAATACACAGTTATTACAATAGTGAAAACAGCTACTTCATTGTATTTTTTTATAAATAAAAAGAATTTACTCTCTTTTTATAGTTTCCTAATTAACTGGTATTACCGCCCATTTGAACAAGCGATATTTATAATGGGTTTGACTTATCATTGATTCATTCTCATATATTGTTAATTTATTGTTTAAATAAAATCAGTATACAAACGTAACTTGTTAAATGTAGAACAAACAAAACAAATTACATTTCATAGTATATAATAAATAGATGTATGAACATTTGTTATGTCAATAACAGTAGAATAATGTTATAAACAAAATTATTTTTATTAAACAAAGGTTATATGTAAGAAAGATATTGTACATTGAATATCCAATAATTCGTGAAGTACAGATTTGGAATGGATTTTATATAAAGATTATTCAATGGAGTAAGAGTTGATTCAAATAATTTATAATATTTATCTTTTATTAAATAGAAAAATGTAATTACACTTTTACTCAATAAGATAAATGTACGAAGTGATAATATATATTTCATATATCATTCCAGTATTAAAAGATTATTTGTACATCTGTATATATACATATATCTTGTCAAGGAATTATATGCATTTTATAAAAGCTTCAAAAAGCGAAAATGGACATAACAGGTGCTTTACTTTAATACTGAGTTTTACATTTATCTGGAATTATGTTGACAATTATGATGGAATCTTTATTCTACAGATCTTGAGATGATCATCGTTGTCACAGAGGCTGCTACCATCTAAGAACCACTACACAAAAATAAACTAGCTAAAACTTTTTCAGTAGGTTTCAGTGATAGTACAGTTAATGAAAGTTAACTTCTAATTTAACTGGACTAGGAAAAAAAACATCCAGCTTAAAAATATACACCAATCAATATCAACACTCTAATATATATGTTTTCTAAAGTCATTACTGTAGTTAAGTTTGATTCTCAGTCGTGATAAATTTCATCGAATTTTTAATACGTTTAACCACTCCGTTAAGCAGATAGAAACCGTTGTCTAAAGTTTTGTTACCATTCAACTGAAAGAATTCTGCTGGAAAGTACTGGAGAACACTTGACAGAATAATTGAAATATCTTTACGGATATGTTCAGTGAAGTTGCGCCTGAGATTAAGGTAATAGACACAACCAATTACAAAATGCATACTGATATCACCGCTAACAAAGTAATTGACCTCTTCAAAGTTCAAAGTTTTCTTAAACAGGATTTTAAAATATATGGACAAAATATCCTAGACTTTGCTAATTCACAACTACACTAATAACTTAAAAATAATTAAAGCTTACGAAAAGTAGAGATCTCAGTGATTACGAAATAAGCCTGTCATACATTTTGTAGCAATCGAATTATTTTAGTTCCAAGTAATTAAAAAAACAATGTAAAACAGGTTAGATTACGGATTCAATTCAATATACGGTTGTGGAGTTCAACCATGTCTGTTGTGGAGCAATTAATTTGTGAAGACAGCTGTGGACAACCGCACAATACCGTGAATTAATGGAAGTTAGCCATTAACACTGTTGGATACCGGCTTAGAGGTCGAGAGGTTGAACGTTCACCCGCGAGATTGAAGGATCTGTGTTGGAGTCCCGAATGACGGATCGTGTATGAGCAGTGCTGAGGAGTCTCATACTAGAACGAAACAACCGTCCAGTGCTTTCAAGTACTCATTAGTGATCCAACATTCATTCATTCATGATATCAATTGAAACACAACAATCCCCACAACCCTATACTGAGAAAATCGATAGTTTCTCTGGTATTTTCAAACGTTAATGTATTCAGTTAAAGTTGATTTTTTGTATGTTCGCGTAACATCTGCAAATATAAAAGTTGATGGGACAGATTCAAATTTCACAGAGATTATCAATTTGCAAAGGACTGAAAAGAAAAAAAATTGAGCAAGTTTTTAAATTCAATAAATAACTCAATAGCCATTCAGTATCTATTATAGATATTCAACATAAACTTCAATAAACTTGACTTCATATTTTAGAGATTACCAGGGTTTCTTTTACATGACGTTATTCTGAAATTTGTATACTACCAGAAAGCCAATATGAACAGTTAAAGAGTTTCAAATAGAATGAAATGTACATCGATGATTCGAACTTTGGCAACTTTCACAAAATCTATCGTGAACTAATCAAATTGTCTAGAAGTAGTCAAAAACGTAGTTTTAATAATTTCATGTAAGTCAGAGATACAAAAGATATCAAGTTACATGGATTGCAGTTAAAATTCCAATTCAAAACTTCTATCTCAACCTATTTTAGACTCATTGACTGTATGTACCTACATTTCAGCGCCAATGTTCACATTGATATTCAAACTTACTATCACCTCAGATGTTAAAAACGTATCTAAGTTAATTAGTCTAGAAGGTCATTTACTTGTTCAGCAAGTGTGTCCATATACAGGTTTGTATAGCTGATGTTTCAGGACAGATTTTTTTCGTATGTACACTCATTTAATATGTTCCAAGTAGGACTAGACACTCATGACTATATTGAGTTAAATTATACCGCTAATCTTATAAATTGAGATAATATAGATGCAATTGATTGAGTATGTAAGTATTCCAACATAGACGGATCAGAACTTTATCTTGAATATGATAAACTAGATCAAAGAAACTATTGCTAATAAATGAAAGATATCGGTTCATTAATAGTTATTAAAATAAATAATAATAATAAAGTCATAAATCATAAGTTCCTTGATTATTACAAGTAATGATATTAGATAACGGAAGATTTTTGCTCAAAGTTTATACTATTGTCAGTAAATATAAAATCAACTTATAGAAAGAAATAAAAATTATACTTGGTAAAAATGGACAGGTGTAAAGTAAAAATGTGATTGTTTAAATATTTTCATTGAATGATGTTAATTGCTTTTCTTTTGTTGTTGTTGTTGTTGTTGTTGGATGATATACAATCAACAACAGGTGTGTACAAACAAATAGGATATCAGATGATCTAGATACTCAAATGATATACATTATTGATAACGGAATACTTTGTTTTCTCGACAACAACAACAAAAGTGCAAATTTTTACATCTTATTGTGTGAAAACTGTGATAAACAAGAATTAACAGTATGTTTGTTAAAAAGAGAACATCTTCATGTGTTGTAAAACTTTATTAATTTATTCATTTTATGGAAAATACATAATATCATATAGCTATATCTAAATATACAGTTGGTAATTTATAAGAAGCCCCTAATCTGTATGGTCAAAACTAAGTCACTAGTGAGATGATAAACCATTGATACTATAGAATATAGCTCTTTGGCTGTGACGTACAGTAGATATTACAAGATGCGAAGATCTAGAGTTTCATACCTACAGTGAATGCGTATGTACACTACCTCACAATTTTAATTTATGATAGAGCAATTGTCCAATACTATCAGGTATTCTGTAGTTCTCTTAATAATATCAGGCTTTGATGAATAACCTTAATTAAGAGTTCTCATAAGTCAACTCAAGAACCACATAAAACTAAGTAAAACTCTTATGAAAATTTCAAGGGAACCGTATCAACAGTGGGTTCATTGGGGTAACGTATAAACCATTAACTTTTATGTAAACTAGTGATCACAAATATTCAAGTTAGTTAATAGTTTTGATTGTCAACTGTATTCAGTATTTATTCTTTTAAAATTTCACTGAAAAGATTTGTAAATTTGTGCAACAAACCTGTTATTTACTTCACTCACCTTATATTGTTCAAAATACAGCATTCTCGATACATACATTGAACTAATTTCAGCATAAAATCATACATTGTGGCAATCGGAAATATGAATTACTTACAGAGATAATAAAACAACTCCAAAATAGTTATGAATTCCACGTGTTTACTTCCATGTGTTTACATTTCATGTGCTTAACGCAGTAACTTTTTTCCGTTTACATTAACAGTTACTGTCAGTATCATATGATTGTCACAATAAAGAAACTGCAGTAAATTATAAAGCTAATTAGTATTTAGCACTCTTCTAATTATAACTTACTAATTCAATCGATAAACATTAGAATGAAAAAGGATATGGTGTACTAGAACAGTTTTTTCAATAACTGTAACTCCCGTAGAGAAGTGACATCAACAACAATAGGGAGAAAGAAAATATTTATCAAATTACCACTTTCACTCCACATGAGACAAAGGTGGGAATGAAATGAGAGTGGGTGAGTGGGTGACTAAGATTGTTAATTATGCACGTAACTGGGATGTTCTTTCATAAGTTATTCTTTCATACAAATATATTATGTTAAATTTTTAGTTTTCTCTTGCCTAATTAGAAGAGAATTATACATAGATTACTTTTCTAGTTAAAGTATCAGTTAATCATCTGTTGCTAATATCGTAAACAAAATATGTAAATGAAACTTATATAGTGTAGAAGTCTCAATTTGATGGGAAACCACATGAGATATTATGAGATATTATGAGATATTATTAGAAAACAATCCACTAAAACTTTTAAGTATGACAGTCTTCTACCTCTTATGTACTAAACCCCGTTAAATAAAACGTGACTAAATCACCAATCAAAACACTAACTTGTACGATTGTGACACTGACAAACCAATGATGCTTTAACCAATACGGACAGCCGAGAGTCAACTTTGAGTCCTTGTTGGTTCCTCTAGTTCCGCCCTCTCTGTTTTAGACCGGAACTTAATCTCGGCTTCCATTGTATGAATCATTTACTTCAGACATACACATTTTATATACAAGCAAATTATACCGCATTATACCGAAAAATAGAAATTAATAATTATACAAGATATGGCCAAAAAAGTGTATGTCAGAGTGAGTTACTGTTATTAAAAATTTGTGGATATCTTAAGAATGGTAAATCGCAATTGTTGACAATTATCTGAACTATTTTGATGATTGTAGTAGTTCCAGCTCCGTATAATAAAACTATTTCGACATTCGCATTGAAGATTCTCACTTCGATATTGGTTGACGGTTGTTTTGAGTTCCATGTTTTCTTCAACTATGGGAATTCTGCCCTTGCTTTACCAATCCTCGAATATACGGCTGCATCAGATACTTCTCGTCCATCGATGACGCTGTTCAGGGAAGTGTTAGTTTCCACCTCTCCCAGAGTCTCTCCATCTAGTACGATTGTGTTGGTGTTCTCCAATTTGCATTTGATAATCTTTCTTTTTCCATTGTGTATGTTGTGGTCTGCTGAAGCAGAGGCTGCTACTACACTGTTTGTGTTGACCTGGATTTGTTGTTGTGTACGTGATGTAAGTGTGAGGTCATGTGCAAATTCGAAATCGTCTAGTTGCACGCATACAGTCCATTTTCTTCCGTGCATCCCATCAGATGTGAAGCCTCGTGACTTAATGTACTCCATAAAGATATACCTTGATTCCATTGAGTAATTAAATTAATCATTTCTGGATAACATAAACATTGCATAAATGTATTAAATTTATGTGGATCTCGTTCATTAATATCAATTTGTTTAGCTAATTTTTGTAAAATAGTAGTAGGTAATGGATAAGATGGTATATTTAATAAATGATTAGATACTTCTTCGGCTAATTCATTGTTATTGAAAAACAAATCTTTTTTAATTGATTTTGTAAATGTATTGTATAATCGGAATCTCTATTTTTTCTTCGTTCAATATTAGTGTTGTTTATATTGATGTTGGTATTAAAGATGTTCTCTTGATAAGATTCTTCGTCATTAGTTTCCTTTTCACCGTCGTCTTCGCCAATGTTGACATCATCATCAACGTTATCATTATCATGAATATATCTCAAATCAGTTGACTGTTGGTTTCTTTGATTTTCAGATGTTCTTGGTTTGTGTAAGTCATTACTACACAATGATGTTCTATGACTGTGGGAATTTTGTGCAACCAAAAATAGAAGTGTTTGTGTTAATTGTATGGAATACCATACTTTTGGATTTTTATAATGTTTGCTTAGATCGTTTGAATTGAGTAGTTTTAATTTCAAATCTATGTTTGGACAACATTTTGAAATCACTTGTGTAATCAAATGGACAATTTCATGAAGAAGACTAAATGTTTGGTGTATATGACATGGGAGACATTTGGACAAAATATCGAGGACCTATTATTAAAATAAGAACAACGAGAACGATATTGCAAATTAAATGGTTAAACTATATGGATTTGAATTGACTAACAAAAATAAATGTTTGGTTTCTAACTGAACAAAACTGTAGTTTCCAGCCTGAAACGACTGATTGCTGATAATTACACAGGTACCACAATACCATCTAAGATAAAAAATGTATTAGGGTGGTAGTTGGAAGTAGTGACTAGGGGGCCCTGGGGGACCTAAGTTTCTTGCTACTTGGGAGCTGCCAGCAAGATGTGTCGCTTGGAACCTATTGTTGAGAATTAACTTGAATTCGTTACGTTTGTCAGTCTGTCGAACGAATGGTATATTGAACCTTTGTAATGCTGTCTATTCAGCTGTCCAATGTTTCTAAAGCTTCAGTTTCATCTTGTCCACAACCAGTTGATGATCTGGAATTACGGCACATCTTGTGCTGGTTCTCTCGTCTTCCATCGGCCTTCCGAATGTTTTAGTGATGCAAATATGATCGATCTGATTGTTTGTAATGTGTTGCGGTGAGACCCATATAGCTTTGTCTTCTCTTTTGTTGGAGAATATTGTGACCCTTACAACAAACTTGTTGAATAAACATAGATTTGCGAATTTCTCCCCATTTTCGTTTCTTTCTCCCAGACCATGTTGACACATGATATCTTCTTATCCAGTGTCGTGGATTCCGACTTTTGCGTTTAGGTCTTCGATCAGGATTGTCGGATCCAGGAGGTCTTCATAATCCTGTCAACCATTAGAAGAAAGATGGAGTGGTTGAACCAACGTCCATGTCCGACACTGGTCTTCACTCGGAATACGTGAGTCAGTGGTCGTCTAGCAACAACTTAGCTCTGTAGTCCATCATATGAATTCCGTATGATATTGATCTTCTTAGGTACACAATAATGTCGAAGACGTTTCTATAATGTCGTACTTCCTCGTAGTCAATGAAATTGATGTTTAGTGACGAGTTCCATTCAATGGATTGTTCAACGATGATCAGTAGTGTCATCATTCGGTCTTTAAATATTCACATTCAAAATTTTTAACTACTTATTATTACAAAAACAGTATAGTTACTGAATCTTGTATGTTGTTATTCACAGTTTTGTTATGAATTAACTGAATTTTCTTTTAAAATCCCATCTGTGAAAATAAGTTAATAATAACTTGTTTTGACGTGCTCATCAACTAATGTATGAAAGCATTCTGACATAATTAATAATGATATTTATTGCATTATCATTATTATTGCGGTGATTATGATTAGCATGTTTCTTTTATAAATGTAAAATCAAACAAACGGATTTATTCGTAAATGTTAATTCACTTTACACTGTATATGATAGAATGATTGTTTTGTTTGTGAAATATTGATAGGTGTGCATTAAAGAATAAGGCATTCTATCAGTGGTCTGACTTTTAATTTATTATTTGGTGTTAATTACTACATTAATAAATTACGTGAAATAAGTGTAGATAGTTTAATAAGCTAGAAGAACACCAGTGGGTATAATCGAATGCAATTGAATACAAAATTACAGAACATCTTAGTAAAATCTGAGAACCAAACAGTAAATACTTAATTGGCAAAATATTAATCAATTGTCTCAAACTTGACTGTTCCTTTGCAAATGTCAATCTATTGTCTCAGACTTTATTATTCATTCATTTTCATACCAATCACTTTCTGTTCCCGTTCTTTCCTTTACTATCTTCTCGAGCTTCGGTTGCCAGACATTCTATTGCTGACTAGCGTTATGTACCACTTATGTCGATATAAGTAGCACAGACCAAAGAAAGATACTTAGTAGTGTGGTATATATTTCGGTGATAACTGAGAATGTATTTTTTTCTCTTCGATGATTACGTGTACGTGGAAAATGACTTCCGAGGATGAATTTATAAATGTTATAATTTTAATCTCATATAAGATTTGCGATTTAATAAAATACTTATAATACTTGCGTTTACAATAGTTAGGAATTCTAGATTCTGTTCAGTGCTGAATCTCCTATTAACTGGTAACTCATAAGTTATAATCCACCTTGAAATACTTTTTAATATCATACTGATTAAAAGAGTATTTTGAGATTTTTCGTCTCAAAATTCTTAATAAACACCTGTGGTAATGCTTAAGATGGTAATACTGAAAATCGTACCTACGAGTTGTGAAGACTGAAATAACTTTAAATCCCTGAATCAGAATGTCTACGTCATTTTTCACAACTGTGTAATTAAATAAAAAACGTTTGATGAGATAATTTATACGTAGTTTCCGAAAATGTTTATAACGCTCTAAAAATTTAATTTTAAATGAAGGAATTAACAAGTCAGACTAAGTTTATACGTAAAAATTTGATTACTTTTGGTTTAATGGAAATTCAGTTCATAAAGTTATCATGTTCTATGTAGATACTAAATTGACTGAATTTGAATGTGTCTCATTTCATGAGAATAATCAAATTTTGATTGTATTTATTTTTACAATAGAGAATTATGCAATAAATGACCCGGTGAATGTTGATTTTAGACAAGGTTGCTGAAATTTAAAATTGATCAATTTTATTTATTAGAAATGTGATTGTTAAAACAAACGTTCACTGAAATATTGATAAAAATTTTAATTTTTATTGTTGTAAGTGTCCATTTACTGTTTGTATACTGTTAAAAGTTGGTTTAGAAGAAGTAACGACATTTGTCAAGATTTTCATAGTTGGAATCATCAGTCATTTGAAACTAGACCACCATGAAAAACCTGGAAGCACTGAACGACCGTTTCGTCCGATTGTGGGACTCCTCGGCAGTGCGCATTCACGATGGTGTTAATGTCTAACTTCAACCAATCCACAAAGTTGAGCAACCGTTCACCAATTATCTTCAGTGAGTTGATATCTCACAACAGACGTGGTTGGACTCCACTGGTTACTGTTTCTCACAAGAACTACAGGAATTATCTCTTGAAGTTAGTCACGGGATCGTGTGTGAACACTGCTGAGGATTCCCACAATTGGACGAAACGGCCGTCCAGTGCCTTCAGCTATTCTTCGGTTATTCACTATCTCCAAATGGTATAGCTGGGAAATTTTAGAAAATTAGCACAACAAAAATAATAATTTTGAATATTTAAATATCCCACTTTACTAATATACGATTGGTATAATAATACTCAATATATAAATGATAATGGTCTACATTGTATTTATCAATGAAAGATTTCCAGGTATATTTTAAATTAGTTCAATATTAAATCATTTTAATTAATAAATAAAAAAAGAACAACTTGTTTCTTTTTTTTAATTAAACAACATTGAATATGAGTTAAGTGTCTAGACGATCATGAAATGTATTTTTAACATTCCATACATTATCACCAATTCGTAAACAATATAAATTTCCATTGTACTTTAAACATGATTCTGATCAGGATAATTAATCTTGTTGTCTATGATTTCTATTCTATGCTAATATATAAATAAAGCAAAAATATTACCTTAAGGCAAAACCGATTAATAATAACAAATTTTGTTTACAATAACATCAAAAAAATTTATTTTGAATAAATTTCACCATGAAATGAGATTTCCTGTCAAGATTCTGTGTAAAATGGAATCTTCATTATACTTTTATTTTTTACTTGTTTTAAAGGTTTTTATTATGAAAAACACTTTTACCAAACAAAAATTGTAAATAATTATGAAAAAAAAACATTTTTAAAGTAAATATAACCTGCAACTTTATTTAGGGATTATTAATTTGTACAGAAATCACTTATGGCTATTATGTAATCAGTATAAAGAATGTAGTTTAAAATTATTCTGATAAAAGGTTCGTGTAAAATGTTCATCTTAGAACATACCTAATGTTATTGAAGCTGTAATTTTTTTTACTATTCTACGGATAATTATTGAATATATATCTATTGCGTAATTAATCGATTCATTAATGATTATTGTTCATTTTATCCTTTGTCAATACTTGCTAATCAATTATTCATTGTTTAATCTGTTCTCTATTACTTTCGTTTTGTTTGTGTACTAACTACAATTTCTAATCAGCGGATAACATATCAACATGAACTTACTAATGACTGTAATACGATAGTAATAATAATTCGTCTATCAGAATGAATACTGAATATAGTGGGCTGCAGGTTGACCATTAGGTGATTACATTATCTCAAACATAAATCAAGGTTATTTGTTTTCAGTAAAAGCATACGCTTGATCAAATTACATTACGTTAGTCTATATAGGAATTTAATAGGATTATTATTGACAAATGATATTACGCAGTACTGATTAGTCTACAATCATAGCAGTTCACCATGAGTATTGTTTTCATTATGAATATGCTGAGCTTAATAATAACTCTCAGATGGAAAACGTCCTTTAGACACCTCATTTCACTAACGGAATAATCATCAGTGTTTCCCGACAACTATGTCAGGTGTTCAAATACAAAAGCTTTATTTGTCACAGCTAGCGTCCTACGTTTTGATTACTGAATCAATTTTATAAATATAGACTGTTCAAATACAACTCATTAACGTTAAGGTAATTTCCTCACATAGAGCAACGAAGGATCTAAAATAGTGGTCACTTACTTCTGAGGAGTTTTGTGCTACGTTGAATGGGCTCTCTGATTTCTGTTGGTTATCTGCCCCATATTAGTTTATAATGTTGTTCAATCACTAAGATATTAAAATATCATTTGAGTTATGCTTATCGTTTGTCTTTGATTTCAAAATCATTGTTAATTTACTATAATATGCATATTTTGTTAAGTAAAACGAGATGCAATTCACATTTATCCAGAAAACTGTTGATAATGAACTTTCCAACCGTCTACTTAATGAGAAACTTATGATGCATTCCTAACATGGTTTCATTGAAACATTAGATCTTGTATGAGATGTCACATTTGCTTCTTTGATTTAATCTTTGCTCAACGAAATCGAGGAAGCCGAGTCTTTGTGCTATACTTTGACATTTACAAATCATTTTACAAGATAAATCATCGGCTTCTTAAAAGTATACTAACATCTTACGGAGTCAGAATCCTACTTCTTGCATTACTTAATTCTCTACTCAGTCGCTGATACCATGTTTTCAAAATACACTGCCTCTTTAATTATGTGCCGGTCAAAAGTGGAGTAGTGTAAGTGAGTTTCTGAAGTCTTTTGCAAACTTTTTTGTATGGGTAAGCTTCTTTAATATGAAGATGATCTTGAGGAGTATTCTCATTTTCTCATAGTGAGATGAAGAATTTACAAAACTGAACTAATTAAGAGACCAGTAAAATAGCACACTGCTGCTCAAAATGGAAGTTGTAGTTGAAGGCTGCTAACATAGAATTTGCAATAAATGATAAGGTGTTATCCAAGATTCACGCAGTAACGGACTTAAGACTCAGGTATTCCCACAGATTGTCCTCTTCAGGACTGGATTACAAAGAAACTTCCGATTCTCAACGACTTTTGGGTTTCATGCTTCAAACAATTACGATAGCAAGTCATACACAAAGTATGTGCCTAACTACTCCTAGAATATTGCACATCTATTCATAGTAGTCTTCAAATAAAGAATAAACTAAGGCTGAAATCATTTCAAAGGCTGTTTGCACTTTGAATTCTTGTATTGATTGTACCTTAAACTTGGAACAGATCCTTATAGAAGAAGAGATCTAAGCTATATCTAATCTTTTTCATCAGAATGTTAAATAATATTTAATAAACTATCTTTTACATCCTCTGATGAAATTCAACGTGCAAAAACTCATGTTCATACCATCTGTAACTGTTCATCATTAGTGAAACGATCACAATCCTAATCTTTTCTCAATATATATTTTTTACCATAAAGTTTAGGGACTTTAGAGTAATGTTTCACAATCAGTTCATGAAATAAAACCACTCACCTTTATGTTTGCTTTATTGGCGCTTACTTATTTTCTGAAAATGCCTTAAATGTTCTTACACCTCTAAGTATATCTTATCTCACTAATGAAAGTATATGAACAATAAATGTTTAAACATTATTATTATTGAACTCACTCAGTAAACCTCCCTAGTTCCATACAGCTTGAGCTTGCACCGACCGTGTTAAAATTAACTGATTTAAACAATATGCTTACCAAACAATAGATTATAAAATAATCTGGTATATTTACAATTATAGACCTGTTTTAGTAATTATTTCTATTGTTCTTCTGAGCCACTTGTCACCGTTGTAGATGACCAATTCTTCATGGCACTCGGGATTATCTTGTAAACACTGTTCACATATCAACAGGATGCCTACTTTAAAATAATTGATGGTATTTTAATGATGCCTTGCGTTACTGAAATACATGCGAAAAATTTACTACTAAACAATTTCTGGACCATAGAACATCAAACAATCCATTACCATGAATCGGTCCATTACGTTATTGGTATCTAGATAAATAACTGATCGTGACTGTGAACAGGCATGAACTCCATAATTATTTGAGGAATATATATAATACATTGATCCATCTGTCAATGTGAAAATTGTAAACAAAATGGTTTTCAGAAGATAGAATCGCTGACCAAAAGAAGTGATGGATATTTAGAAATTGAAGTGGCCGTCAACAACACCTTGTGTTATATGAAGGAATGAGGGCAAATAAGTGAATAATTTTTCTTTTCAGCGATCTCATTTATTTAAGGGGTACAATTTTTATTTCATATTTAACCTTTTTTTGATAAAATAGTAATCTATGGTTAACAACGAATGTTTAAGAATATAAAAAAACTTGAAGTGGTATTTTCTCATGCATTGTTTACGAAAAACTGACTATAAACATGACTGTCCAACGTAAGTAAATGAAATCATCGAAAAGGTTTTCTTCGCTGGATTACATTCTTCCTCCTAAATTAATTCAATATCTTGAATAAAAGGTAGTTAAATAAGCACAATGATGAGAAATATAAACAAACAAATAATTTTTCAGTTCTGCAAGTCCTTGTATATGGTTTCAATCCACTTTACAGTATTCTGATAATAGATAATTATGATCGTATGCATCAATAAAATATTGATATCATTTTCGGTATTCTAACATTCGGTAATTCATTGATTTGCTGACAGAAGTTTGTTTCATAGGAAGACGCATATAGGCAAGGATTGGTGACGTATTTAAATAATTAGTACACTACACAGTTAGAGAATCCCTCTGGTGTTGCACAAAGAATCATGAGATGCATTTATTGGGTGAGAAACTCACGGATCCAGGATCATCAAAGAATCATTCAAAACCAAGAAGAACAAAGTCACAATGAATATCATCCAATGTTATGCACACAAAAAAGATAGCAACGACGACGGTAAAGATCAGTTCTAGGAGAGGATCTATCAATCATCGCGAAGTGTCAAATAAAGGACCCGACAATCCTGATCGAAGACCTAAACGCAAAAGTCGGAATCCACGACACTGGATAAGAAGATATCATGTGTCAACATGGTCTGGGAGAAAGAAACGAAAATGGGGAGAAATTCGCAAATCTATGTTTATTCAACAAGTTTGTTGTAAGGGTCACAATATTCTCCAACAAAAGAGAAGACAAAGCTATATGGGTCTCACCGCAACACATTACAAACAATCAGATCGATCATATTTGCATCACTAAAACATTCGGAAGGCCGATGGAAGACGAGAGAACCAGCACAAGATGTGCCGTAATTCCAGATCATCAACTGGTTGTGGACAAGATGAAACTGAAGCTTTAGAAACATTGGACAGCTGAATAGACAGCATTACAAAGGTTCAATATACCATTCGTTCGACAGACTGACAAACGTAACGAATTCAAGTTAATTCTCAACAATAGGTTCCAAGCGATACAAGATCTACTCAACGACGAAGAAACTACTATGGAGGGCAGTTGAGAAGGGACTAAAAAAGCACTAACTTTGTCGTACGAAGAGATAAGCGTCCGCAAGAAGCATCATCACAATGAACACTTCGAAGAACTTATGAATGGACAAGTGTCATTGAATCCACCGGACGTCGATGCAGCACCTACTGACCTTCCTATATATGTCACCCCTCCAACGATCGAAAAAATCAAGTTGACCATCAGATAAATCGAGTTTCGGAATACCACAAGACCTAAAAATATACCATCTGAAGCTATGAAGTCAGACATAGAAGTAACTGCACGTATGCTTCACACTCTCTCAAGGAAGATTTGGTAGGAACAACAAGTGCCAATGGACTGAGAAGAAGGAAACATCATCAAGATACCAAAGGAAAGAATTCATACGACGAATCAAACCGCAAAATCGTGCATGAAAGGGAGCTCACAGATGCATTCCGAGTGATGTCCAGTGTCAGACATCTTTGTTTTCATGGTTGACAGGATTATGAAGACCTTCACATCTGACCGCAGACACGAAACAAAACGGCCTGTTTACATGCAACTAGACGATTTCGAATTTGCACATGACCTCACACTTACATCACGTACACAACAACAAATCCAGGTCAACACAAACAGTGTAGTAGCAGCCTCTGCTTCAGCAGACCACAACATACACAATGGAAAAAGAAAGATTATCAAATGCAAATTGGAGAACACCAACACAATCGTACTAGATGGAGAGACTCTGGGAGAGGTGGAAACTAACACTTCCCTGAACAGCGTCATCGATGGACGAGAAGTATCTGATGCAGCCGTATATTCGAGGATTGGTAAAGCAAGGGCAGAATTCCCATAGTTGAAGAAAACATGGAACTCAAAACAACCGTCAACCAATATCGAAGTGAGAATCTTCGATGCTAGTGTTAAGACATTTCCACGATACGGAGCTGAAACTTGGAGAATTACTACAACCATCACCAAAAGGGTACAAGTATTTATAAACATTTGTATACACAAGGCACTGAATGTCTGTTGACTGGAAGTTTGAAACAAGTGGATATGATTATATAAAACAGATTTGGATGGATAATCCTGTTGAGTGGTCCAAGCGCCTGGATGCGGGTTAGCAAGCATAAATGAGTATGTAAGTACTCCCATACTATCCAGGCTAATAATCTGTCATTAGCCTGTTTGACTTATTTTAACAAACTCTGTTTAAATGATCCAGCAAACATTAATTTACTCAATTTTGTGTTATGTGTTAATAAGTAATC